AATTAAAACAAAAACAATTTGCATACATAAAGTAATTATTTTAAAAATTTAACAAAAGCCAATTCAAAATAGAAACTAACTTTTTTTTCTTATTAAAACAACCAATCCATGCTATTTAATTTCTTTTTTTAATAGCAGAGTAATTTCCATTGCATTAACAGATCTAAAATAGGGAAATAAAACCAAACATATATAGTCTAGGGTAACGTGAACAAAAAAAGAATTCTCCGTCGCTTTTTTTGCTAGGATAATTTTTCTCCTCTTCAACCACAGTTAAAAACTCTCCGTCTATTCATTACAGTCTTTTATAGTATTTTTATTTAATAAAACCTATTAAGGCTTCCATACAAATCTCTTTACTTATTCCTTTATCTTTTAACTGATCAATTTTTATACTGCTGACAGCAAAGTCTTTGCCATTTGCGCATTTAAAAATTCATAGTACATAAGATGAGTCTCAGGAGAAAAGGGTCTATAAATATTTCTTACAGCTGGGGATTGGGAGCCAGTCACTGCTAGCACATGACTGAGCGCTTCACAGAAAATAAAATTTGTTTCTGTAGTAAGCAGAACTGTTTAAATATTATTTATTTTTATGTTTCAAAGGAAATATATTGTGAAGCGCTGCATTGATTTAATACGCATCAATGTCTGTGTACAAGCTGCAGAAGGGAAATTTATGAAACCTTTGCACAAGTCCGTTAATTGAATTTTCCAAATCTCGCACCACACACAAATAATCAATATCTTCTGCAGTGAAAACCAGTCAGAATTATTACAGTCTCTCTTTTCAATTTTGTTGTCATCAGCACATACAGAGTACCTGGGTATTTGTAATATCTGGGTAGTCAGAAATTTATCTCTCGTCAACATAACGAGAGCAGTAAAGAGCAAGCAGAGTGATGTATGGACACGCTTCTCCGCTGTTGCGCCGGGTGGTATAATTAGCGCTCCGCGAACGGAATGTGAGACAAACTGTTAAGATAAACAGAGCTAAATATGATCGCACAAGTCAGAAGTTTAAAGTGACACGGCACGTATCTCTTCAACCTTTTCCAAGTTAATTATAACTGTAGCGATTTGCAAAATATATATCTGCAGCTATAAAGGCAACCCCCTCACTTGGATATGTCACACGAGGAAGCTTTGTTTTCCACTGGCTGTACAAGAACTTGTATGGGATGTCAAGTTATTCTAGGAGACAAGGAGATTTGTGGAGATCGGTGCCCATCACTTTATGGTGCACAAATATGAAATACAATCTTTCTAAAAATGAGGGGCAAAGACAAGCTGTAATGTCAGAATTCACGAACCCCCGACCATAACCCCACAATCTCAGCTTGGAGAATTATTAAGAACCTTTGCCAATAATAATGTTACAATCCTAAAATACATATACATGATATTTTGAATTCCTGTGTACTCTCACCAAAAAGGAATCAACGTTGTTTTAGCCTGATGCTCCAATTACTTTTAACAGAAGGTGAACAAAGCCCATGTACCCCCATAACCCATATGTCATTCAACACTAAGGTTGAACAGAGCTGTTGACTAAGCTGACAGCAGTTGCATCCCCTGCTGCTATCAGCTTACTGACTGCTCCATTTTCAGTTCTGTGTTCTAACAGAGTAAAAGATGACTTGCTTGGACATGCTTTCTCAATCAATATCTGATAGTGAGGGGTGTGGGCTATAAAACATGTTTTTCCCCCCCATGTGGGTGCATTTATAATTAATGGTGCAATAGAAGGCAAGAACAGGGCACTTCACTTAACCATACCCTACGCCAGAAGCACAGGCTGTCATGGTGCTAGGAATGTCTCTAATTAAAAGGACACTATAGGCACCAAAACAACTTTAACTTAATGAAGCAGTTTTGATGTATAGATCTTGCCCCTCCAGTCTCACTGCTCAGTTCTCTATTTAAAAGTTAAACCCTATTTAGAAAGGTTTGCAATTTAGAATAAAAAAAAAAAAAAAAAATTGTTTCTGTTTATGCAACCCTACTCACACTATGATTTACACAGCCTACGTGAAAGAAAACTTATATTTCCAATCAGATGATAACTTTGTTTTTAAGTTATCTCCTGCTCTGAAAATTGATCTTTAATCCTACACACACACAAGGCTTATGTAGTGTCTATAAAGCTACTAACAGAGCAGAAGGTAAGACATTCTAAATTAAAAAGAAAAGTGCAATAAAGGAAATTTAAACATTAGATCTCTCTTTACAGGAAGTGTTTAGCAAGGCTGCACAAGTCAGATGCAAGGAGGTATGGCTAAGGTTAAATCACTTTGCTATAAGCATTATTATTTAACTCCTAAATAGCAGAGAACTGGGCAGTGAGACTGTAGGGGCATGATCTGCACAACAAAACAGTTTATTTAAGCTAAAGTTAATTTAGCCAATAGTGTACATTTTAATAAATAAAACCAGTAAGAAAAAGACTGTTGCTCAATTTTAGACAAATCACAAATTTGAAATACTCTGCACTTAATGCAATACTCCCAAGTAATATTAGGATGCTGGGCAAACAAGTGGCAAATAATACGGAACACATATGAATGCAAAATTTGGCATTATGGCATCAGGAAAAAACGGTCACCTTATATCCTTTGACAAACCACCCTTTCCAAATGAGTTTTCCAGCCTCCTGCCCACAGACTATGGACCCTGTTAAATATAATGTAAAAGTCTCAGTTTATGTATTTCGACATCATGGTTCGGGAACCGAACAGCCGCATGAACTGGAGACCACCTTAGAGCTTGTTAAGCCTAATTGATACGTTGTAGCAATTTCAAACGCAGTGTTCTAAGTATTCATCTGGTTGGCCGCATTTTCTATGGACAACCACGAGGTGGCGGCCATCTTGTTTGCATAAACACAGGCAGCGGTGTTTGTGTCTGAAAATCGTTCCATGAACTCGACAACTAAACGCCTGAATACCGCTGGACTTCCATGATCCCCTGTGTTCGGTTCTACAACACTTAGAAAGACACTGTTCGGTGGAAACATTCCCACGAACAAGGGAAACAAGCTTCAGGGTAAGAACATTGACTATGTTCAGTTTTTAAACTACCGAACTAGACCGCCCGCAAGCCCTGATTCTCTGGAACTGATTTGGGCATGGGACCATGCGTGCTGTCGGTCAAATTATGACTTCCAGGAAATTCCTGAACCGATCTGGGTGATATTTGGATATGTTGGTCACCCAGATCAGGGCTATCAGGGGATGTAACTGTGAGGTTTTTATGTATTGTTAAGGTGCTTTGGGGTAGTTTGGTAAATGTGTTTTTTTTGTGCCTGGAGATAATTGAGTTTAATACAGTGCTTGACTTAATTATCTCCCAAGCACAGGGGGGTATTTATCTTGTTTTGTATGGGAGTGTCCTGAACCAGAGAGCCAATGTAATAGTGTGTATGTTTTTACTGTAGTCTACTCTTAGGTCCAGGGGGGAGTGCCCCTTACGTATTTCAGCTTGTACTCCCAGAACTATGTCTCGTCTGGGTACTGGGAGGGGAAAGGGCTACTCTTTAATCACTGTTCCAATGTGGAGGATTCAACGGGGAAAGTCCTTGTAAGGACTAGAGCTCCCATAACCAGGGGGTTCCCCATTCGCCTCCAGGAGGGAGCGGTAGCAGGACCCCATTCAAGCCACGGCGACTGTGAGCAGAAGTACTGTGGTTTGTCCCCTAATTGTAAATGTGCAGGACTTGTGAATCATTATAGAAAACAGAATAGGAAACAATGTTCAATGTAGGGCAGCAGTTGAAAAGTCAAATAAGACATTGGCATTAATAAAAATGGGTACTAGTTCACGTAACAATAAAATAGTTTTACTTCTTTATAAACCAATGGTAAGACCACAACTAGAATAAATTGGTGAAATCTATATTTAAAAAAAGGATAATATGGAAGTGGAGTGGAAAAATGTGGAGAGGTTGGCAACCAAATAAGCCGATGTCAAAAGTAGTACAAAAGTACAGATAAGTCAGGCTATATCAAGGCAGTGTCAGGATCCAGTAACACAGGAAAAAGCATTGGATTGGCTTAGATAGTCAAATTTGATGATCTCAGCCAAGGAGAAGCCAATGCAGCACTGGAATAAAGGTTATCAAAATAACTTGAACAAGAGGTAATGCAGGCCAGAATCTAAAATGTGTTGTTACAATTATAGTGTCAGGAATACAGGTTTGTGTTTCTGACACTCTATAGTGTTCCTTTAAGTAAGGCCGGGTCCTTATTTTTGGAGAGCTCCACCACTGCTGACTGTTCCATATATGACATTTCCCATGTGCAGAACTATGTATTTATTTGGATAATAAAGGGATGCTGTAGTGTAAGAAAATTTGAATTTACCATTATATGTAGATTGTGCATCTTCTCAACTTCCCATGAAGTCGTACCACAAATTCGCAATGGAAATTGATTCAGCAAATGATTCTTACTTGACAAAGCTATAAAAGCAGTTCAGAACACATTGTTTGCCAGCCTCGGGCAAGAGTGCTCACATTCTGTTCAAAAATATTTTGTTTACAGTCAACGCTAATCACAGGCAGACAATCGTTCTGTTTCTTCTGCTTGTACAAGGAAAATGATAGATCGATCGCCATATAATGGCATCCATTCATGCAATGATGTTCTCTATTAAGTTGTTTTAAGAAGGGGCTGTTTATGAAAAGTAAATACATTTCACGCCTGACCATGTGATACTAATGTGACATTGCAAGGTCTTATAAACCACTTTCTGGTCATGGGTTGAGCAGAACTAATGAAAAGTAATCACAAGAAAACCACATCCAACGCTGATTGCATGGGACGACACCACCATGCCTTTCCCCGGCTTTTTCCCATCACCTTAGAAATCCCAAATTGCTATTTATCATCAGTGTTGCTGCTCTTCACAATAGACACACCCAATGTTTGCAAGCAAAAATAGCTGAAAAATAGAAATTCCTCTCTTATTAGAATTTAAGAAAAACAAAACAAAAACAACAAAACAGTAAAGGGTTTATTCAGTAAACTACAAATTGGAATAGTTTAAAACTGAACTGAAAAAAATGCATGCTAAAAGAACGAAGTCATGAATTCAGCCAAGAATATTCCCAGATCCGATAGAACAGACTAAATTGGCATTTGGATTTCATTTTAGAATTTAGCGAGGAGCTGTGTGGAATTGCTTTTTTCTCACCACATCAATCAAGTAGGGTTTATTTCACATAATACAAGTGATCTCTGACATGTTTTGCCCTAATTCCTTACACATATTTTAAATTCTAGGTTTACCACAGGAAATGAAAAGTTGTATCACAAGATAAACATAATACAAGCAATACAAAATTACTAAAAAGAAAATATTAAACTTAAAGGGACACTGTAGGCACTATCACCATTTCATCTTAATGAATTGGTTATAGTGTTCAGAGTCCCCTGGCGTAGACCCTCCATTCAGTGTTAAACCATTTTTGAGAAGTTTAAACACTGAATAAGGGTTCCTAGCCACTCACAGCCCGCCTCTACTTTAGGTATTACTAAGGCAGAGATTACAAACTTTGTTCAAGTCATACTGGTACATTCCTGCAATGGGCACTATAATAGGTTGGCACTATCAGCCAATCACAGCTGCCCAGGCTAATGCCACCTCATTCGCCCAAGAAGCACAGAAGGGATGAGCTCCCAGAGACTGTTTAGCACGAAAACAGTATAAACTGTTTAATACTGAATTGAAGTACAATGGCATGGGACTCCAGACCATCTGCGATGGAATTAAGGTTTAAAAAAAAATTCAGTAATATTAACATTAATCATTTAAAACAATAACATATTACCAAACGAGGAGAAAGAATTTAATTAGGAAAAAAAGTAAAATCACAGGACAAGTCTTTGATGAATAAAATATTTTGGATATAGTATATAAAAGTACATTTGAGGACAGTAATAAATATATGGTACTTGGTTCGGTAAAACATTATAAAGTAATATAAAGAAATAAGGATAGCATTTATTTTACAAAAGGTGATATTTGGTCCCAGTGAAAACTTAGAATCAGAAATACTGACCTAAATATCTAGCTACTTTTTTTATTTTACAAACCACATACCAGGAATTACAGCATTTAGTAAAACATTAATTTTGCACTAACTTTTTTTTCTCATGTGATGCCCTATTTTCCTTTAAATATTCAAATTAATTACTTTACAATCAGATCTGGCATGGCTACGATGGAGCCAGTTTCAGGATAAAGTGTACATTTCTACATCAAATTTTATTTTTCATAAATACAGTGAGACCTCGGTTTACAAACGCCTCGGTAAACATAATTTTCGGTTTACAAATGAAAATCCATTGAAAATAATGCCTCGGTTTACAAATTTTTTTCGCAATACAAAGCAAGTTTCCCCAGGATGCATTGCACCTGGGAGGTTTATAGCACCGCCCCCTGCATGCTGGAGCCTGTGGATAGAATGTGGCGTCGAGTGTGGAGGTGTTGGAGTGACGTTTGGAGCCATTCTGGAAATTGTTTGCAGTTGTTTTGGGACTTTTTGGTGCATTTCTCAAGCTGTGGAAAGGTAGGGAGCTGAGCTTCATCGTTTGCATGCATTTTATTGTGTGTTCTGCATTGTGGGTTGGTTTCCATGCCAGCTCATTTTGACTTTTTCCGACCTCCAGAACGGATTAATTGGTTTTCAATGCATTCCTATGGGAAACCGCGTCTTGGTTTACAAATTGTTCGCAATAAGAAACGTCCCGGAGAACGCATTAAATTCGTAAACCGAGGTCCCACTGTATATAATAACATTACCAATCCTTTAAAGTAACAATTCCCTTTTAAAACCAACGTGGCCTAAGCTTCCCAATGGAACAAAACTTGCAGGAACTACAGAAATCATAGGAATACATAAATCACCATAAAGAAAGCATGAACATTTAAGAAGCACAATGGGGAAGAGCTTTTCAAAATGTATCTGACACGTTAAAGGCTAATTTTCAAAAATTTTTGCATAAGTATTAACTGTCAGATGTTCTCATCTGTTGCTTCATTTGCACCCTAACAGTCATTTTTGAACGTACACTATTTTTTCGGCAACAAAACAGATTTATCAATTTTCCCACCAAATTTTAGACAAAAAAAAAAAAAAAAAAGATTCCATTTCACTTATTTTCCCCAAGATTTTGCAGCGTTCTGAAATGGGAGTTTCTATTGAAACCGGCACAATTTACCATAAAGAAAACTGGCACTTTTTAGATCAATTTAATAAACATGATCAAAATAATGGGAGGATTTAATAACTTTTAAAACACTCTAAGTATCCTCTAACAGTCCTCAAAATAACCGACAATTTTCAATTATTTTATATATCGTAAATATGCAAACAGATTAAAAAAAAATAAATGAACTAAGAAAAAAAAAAAAAAATACCCTAACATTGCGAAAACAAACCTTTGCAGTTAAAAGCCAGTCTGAATTTACAATAACTTGTGCTTGGTATGATAAATATACACATGGACAATGTGCACTGGGATACATACACTAAAAATAATCGAGACAGAAAGTTCCTATTTAATTGCTCAGCATGTCTCCCTACTTAGCCTGGCTGAAATCACGGATAATTAATTGTTTAGTAATGTGAATTTATTATGTAATTTTAAGGTGCTGGACTCACAGCAGTGGATTATTGGACATGAAATGTTTTGCAATGTGCAGCTAAAATTGGCCCCAAGAATCACTCATTCCCCAACAAAACAAGAGACATAAATTTTGCCTTTTGAAAATCTAGCCAGCGGAAATAAATATTGAATTTTGTGTTAAAGTGCTGGAATCAACAGAAGTTCCCAGTTGTCTCCAAATTTCTTTTCCATAAGTTTTGTACAACAAGCCCGTGGCTGCCCTCCACTGCTGACAAAGGGATCTGATACTAAATACTTCTGTCTGCCACTTCTCTGGGCAAGGTTAAGCCAGCGAAGGGCCGTGATGGATGCTGTGCACTTGTCTTCGAAGCAGGATATAACTCCATCTAAACTGCTGGTAAATCACACATTCCCGAGCAGTTCCTTGCAGCCCCTGTAATGCGCATACGGGTTTAGCTCAATGAAAACCTTTCTCAACATGTGCAGAGCTTATGCAGGAAGTAGCAGTGACCTGAAACACAAGAGAATTGATTGTCACAGCAGGAAGCCACAACAGAGCTTTTCAAGCCCAATGTCTGCAGGCACAACACCTTGAGACAGGGCAAAGCACGGTAGGTAAAGTTTACATAGTTAAACAGGGCAAGAGAAAACCTCACAATCACCACTGATACTAGTTATCTGCAAGGATACAATGAACAAGACACATACAAACTAAAAGTAATTAAAGGAAGTCATACTATGGTATGCTGCTGCTGCTGCTTAAAGTCATATTAAAAGCACTTCACTAAAATACTGTCAAAGCTCCTTACCAGAGACCAAGGGGTTAATACACTAAACACCAAACTGTATGGAACTAAAATCCAAATCACAAAATGTAACTAAAAAGTGCTGATTTTGGGATTGGGGGGTGGGGAGGGAAAGACAAGTTACAATTTGGTGTTTAAGGTACAGTATATAGACCCATGCATGACGTATAAAGGAAGCCTGTGAGGTCCATTTTTTTTTTTTTAACATTCTAAGTGTTACATATCAGGGAGCATTCTGTCTGTTAAAACGTTTTCAGCACCAGCAACCTTAACGATTAGCAGCTTAGGAAAATGGAGTGTATTTTACCATCTGTAAACACGGACATTGTGGCCCTCTTCGTGGACATGTATATTATTTAATAAATCTATTTTTTTTTTTACATACACTGTTATTCACCAAACTGTGAGGAGGCAGGAAATGTTCAATTTCAGCAATTTTAGCCTAGAAATAGAACTTTGCTACAGGGTGATTAGTTGAAGTGAGAATTGCCAATAATTCAAAGTGAATTCTAAATTTAAAGCCAAACAGCAGGAGGCAGAATTGACTTTAAGAAGTTTGCTATTTAGGTGTAATTTGTGAACTCCTAGCAGTTTTGGTTTTAGTAAATAACCCTGCCAGTGAATTTCTAATTTGGTGAATAAGCCGGACAGTGTTTCCAACTGCTACATGCTTTAGCACTAATGTAACAATTCTCAAAGAAACCTAACAAGCCTTTATCTTACTGTGGTACACAATACAAGTGAGTATTCCAAGTTTCACATTTAAGGGCAAAATAGCTGAACCAGAAGCATTGCTGGCTTGGAAAATGTTTTCCAATTCAGCTATATTGACCTTAAATTTGAAATTCACTTTGAATTCTCATTTTAGTGAACAACCCTGTGAGTCCTTCGCTCCACCAGGGCAAGCGATTTCCTAACAATTCTACAGGGAAGAGGCTCAAAAAGTATCACCCATTGGATTCCAAAGAGATCCGTCATTTAATGCGATGTCACCCCTGTGAGCTTTATAATTTTTCCAGCTGCCTCTATTCTTGTGTGATTAGAAGTGGTCATGTTGGTGGGAATCTATATGTGCAGTATTTCTGCTTGTGTGCCAGGGGCTAGTTATAACCACATGTGACGTAGGTAGCTCAAAATTCCATGTTCTCTTTTCACAGCCTCCTGCTTAATTAAGGTAGAGGTCCAATTGAAAGAACTAGCTTTCCCCCTCCAAAATACATTAAAGTTAACAAGCCGAAATCACTGTCATTGTTACCTTTAACAAATCTTTTGCTTCTTTTTTCTTGCTTCAGATACTAGAAAAGAATAGAAAATGTCAGGTCAGTTCTGGGGTTTGAGTCAATGGGTGAATGAAATCAACAAAATCATTGCATTCATAGGGGCTTATTCTCTAAACTGTGGTGTGTGCTGCCTGACAACTATACTGCAAAATGTATATCCAAAATTATCCATGTCAGCTATTGGAGCATATATTGGGAATAAGCAGGTACAGATTATATGGTCATGTCATTTCAAAGAGCGCCCCGACTAAAGACATCAGCTGATTCCTTGTGTATGGTGCTTAGGTGAATCATATTGTACAAAAGAAGCCCATCTGTGACTTCTCTGTCCATTTTATCACCTATGGACCAACTAGTCTTGCACCTAATTGCCTCTTCACTTTATCAAGAATAGGGCAACCCAAAGAATTTTCCCACACAGGTCAGCGGTCACACTGAACAACATGTTCGTTATTTGGATGTGATCCTCTAACACAGGGGTGCCCAATAAGTAGATCCCCAGATGTTTTCAAACTGCAGCTTCCATGATGCTTTGTCATTCTAAAAACATGCAGAGCATTATGGGAGTTCTAGTTCTACAACATCTGAGGATCTACCTTTTGGGCATCCCTGATCTAACACCTGCATAACAAAGGGACTCGGAGGTGCACAACACATGTTGCACTAAGATTTTTCTCTCACACAAGCATATTTTTTTTTTTTTTTTAATACCTATATCCATCACTAGCCACAGAGGAGAGAAGATTTATTTATTAAACAGTCAAACAAAAAAGTTGAATAACCGCTCATTTGTAAGGATTTTGGCAGAACTTGTACCCGGAATTTTAATATTTATATAATTTTATATTTAACAAATAGGCATTTGTGAGGTGTAAAAAATAAAATGAAATCATAGTTATAAGCGGTGTCCTTTTGAAAGCGCAGCAGCGGACAGTCAGCACAGAGGCTGGGCATGGAATGATCGGGATTTGCTAAATCTTTAATATGAGTTTAAAAGAAAACAGAGCGTCACATGAAAAAGCATTAACAGGTGATTTTCTAAGTTCTATTCAATGATGTAATATTAAGAAAAGTGAAAGTTCATGATCCTATTCACAGTTGTCCAGAAACTATTCTGTAATGGGCATTTACAAGTTACGAGAGAAGCTTCTAAATACACTGAGGACAAACTATCAATGTGACACATTGACAAGTTTTCTTGCGCTCTCCTGCACTGTGGAGCATCACATAGAAACAGACATGACACAGCCTTATAGAGTATTTAGAAAGGCCTTTGTGTTAATGTTCCATTCATTCTGAAAAGTATTAGCAAACTTCTATTCTGGAGGTAGACTAACAAAACATTATAAAATTATAACATTTGTGGGGAGAAGAAAAATGCGTTTGGGAAGCATTTTATAAAAGGTGTAAGTCTGAAATGTAAAAAAAATGGGTGCAATTATAATAAATTACAATCAAGCATCTGCATATAAACGAATATTATTTTTGGCCTTTCAGCTGAAATCTTTTATTGTGGAATCACTTTCCAAAAACATTTTTAACTTTTTATTTGTAATGCTACAGAAGATTTATTGAACTAAAACCAGGCTTAAAATGAGTGCCATCACTTCTCTGGCAAGAACACAACTGAATTAAACAGTGGGAATCACCTAGCATTTGTGGTAACCTTTTTTATGTTAGAATAAAAATGTACTAAATGATGAAATATCCTGGCACGGCCAGGGCATACAATGCGAATGAGCAAAAACAAACATTTCTTCTTCGCTTCCCTGAATACTTTCTCTATGCTGAAGGTAAGCTGCAAAGCTTAGAAGCATTGACACTCATTGGCAACTCTTACTTAAACTATAAATCAGTACCTGAAAATGAAATTGAAGCAAATGTTTGGCAAATTAAACATTGCTGAAATGCACAGAGAAATATTCAGATTTTTAGATCACTGAATAACTTTAGTTAATAAAGCTTATTTAATTTAAAAAAAAAATTCATTGATGTAGAACCACACTGCTGTTTTCCAACTGTCCGGGGAAGCCATTTTCTTGCACATGCTATACAGAGCACTTCCTGAGTACTAGCTAAGGGAAACATTGCTAAAAGTGCTCACAGAAAATGTTCCCCCCCACCGTCTGTAAGGAAAAACTATATTTTCAAAACGTTTGAACTATGGGTAAAAACAATACAAAACAAAAAAATACAACTTACACACAATTACATTTTAATTGAAATGGGATTATACAGAGCTGTGATTATAGATTTCCTGTAATGTGCCACAACAATAATTAGGATCATTTACTCAAGGGCCATTCCATGTGTTACAGTTCTAAGAGGTGGGTAACAGTTGAGTAACTCACCTGGAAGGGTTAAGGACCCTGCTCCTGTAAGGGTTGAGTAACTCACCTGGAAGGGTTAAGGACCCTGCTCCTGTAAGAGGTGAGTGACTTACCTGAAAGGGTTAAGGACCCTGCTCCTGTAAGAGGTGAGTGACTTACCTGGAAGGGTTAAGGAACCTGTTTTTGTCAGGCTCTCAGGAGAAGCCTGGGACCTAATGTATTTACTGGTTTGAGTAATGTCAACCTTAGAAGAATGGGGACAGATCCACTTACTCAGAACTTTTGTTTTCTGCAGCTCAGCTTTCAGGTCGTTTGATGAATTTCCAAATCCTGTGAGATGTCCAAGCTCTCTGCTGCCCTCCAAAGCCTAAAACAACCGGTCGAATGGGACAATGCATTAATAAAAGCAGTACAGTCAGGAAGAGTCACCAGATGATACAAAGCGCCCTTACAGTGCAGCACTAATACCTTGTGCAATAAACAGCTGGTCTATGCCAATTATTCTATGATAAAACTCAGTGTTCTCACTAAGGTGACCAGACCAGAATCCAAACTGCTGGAACACGAATACAGATTGCAAATGTTAAAAGATGAAAGCACTTGGAGTTGGTAAATACATAAAAAACAAACAAAAAACAAGACTGTAAATCCTGAGCTGTGTATTATTTGTCCTATTTCATGCTATGATCTGAAAAATGCTGGATCATGAGAAGTCACTGATAATGCAGTGAGACATGCTAATGTTTTAGAAACAGAGCGTACACAGTGTATAAGAATGATGCATTAAAATCACAGTACTGTGTGTGTTTAACAGACTGGCTGTGAATCTATCGTTAGCAAACCGTGGAACGATAAGGGGTTAAAGGCTGTGAAAGTAAAATGTCCTTTTATACATTAACCAACAACCACATCTTATTAAAAGGACACTCCGGGTACCATAACTTCATCTGAATTAAGTTGTTATGGTGCTAGGAGGACCAGAGCACCAGCATACCGTCAGGGGTTAAACAGGAACCACAAAATTTTTCGTCCAGCAGCTCTGCTCCCGAACATCCTTTGCAGTCAAACACTTCAATCAGGGAGCCTTACACTGGGGCAACGCTGATATGTAGAGAACATATTTGTATCACGCTGTTTAGTGAATGAGCAGCTACTACGCAGTACTCCTGTCCTTGGCTTCCATATTGAAGCCTTGGACTACAAAGCACTGTAGGGGGTGAAACCTTTCATTAAAGATTTATAATCCTGAAGGTATGTCGGTGAAAGCGAACTCCAGCTACCATAATAACTTAATTCCGATGAAGTATCCTTATTCGATACGACCAGTAAAAAAAAAGTGTTCCTCCAGTCTATAGCATTATCCACTGTACACAAACCTCCTGTATGTTGCATTTCAAGTAACATCCATAAAAACTGGTCACAATATACAACTGCATTGATCTGGGAGCCAACGGATTACAAAGCTGGTGTTGTACATCACACGAAAATATAATCCAGAACAAGTGAAATACAACAATTTTAATATTTTAATCCCAACACTAACAGGGCTATTCACTAGAGAAAGAACTGTAGGAAAATCATAGCAAATATCAAATATAAGGCCAAAGTAGATGAAATTGAAGCATAGATGACTTGGAATATTTATTTTGGCCATAGATTTGAAATGCCCTTTGAAATCCTGATTCTCACTTTTCTGATTAAAGCGGCCAATGTATCAGAAGGAAACTGCAAATTTCAGGACAAAACTCAAAAAACAGTGTTGAAGAAAGTTGATTATTCCATTTGCAATTGCCAGTTTGATAAATAACCCTTGTTTTCTGTTTATTTAGGGAAACACAATCTCACTGTATAATTATATGAACAATTTAAAAAAGAAAGAAATATTATTGGACTTCTTAAATAGCACATGTGAATTCAATAGATGGGTAAAGTAGAAGATACAAATATTATTTTGGAATACCTTTTTATATGAGTAGCAGAATTTTGGAATGACAAGCTTTCAGGAGATAGCTCAGAAAAACAAACAAAAAAAAGACACAAACCCAGATAAAAGCTATAGAAAGACAACACATGCTTTCTCTGTGTAAATCGCTCTGTTCAGCCTGTCAGTTCTAAACCACCCACCTTGCTGTGCAAGTGTCACACTTGAAATTCATATATGCAGCCGGTGCTGCTGTAAATGTCACAGCATGTGCTGTTAACAGCTAGAGACACATTACAACAGCTTCCTCCTAAATTGGGTAAACAGAAGCCCACATGTCCAGCACCACACAAAGCCATGTAAGCATTTGCAGCGATCCACCCGTTGGAATGCTCTGTCGGCAATTATAACTCTGGCACGCAGGGCAGGCTCAAGTACCCGCTGCGTTATCCAGTTCAGAGTTGCATATTTCAGAAAGCTCATGTACAAACTGAGAGATGTGTTGTGGAACAGAAGGGCCAATGCTGCACTCCCAGCATTTAGGGGGGTTCACTGGGTACAGAATGCATATCACCCTGCAATCATGAGATATATGGCAAACCACAGAATTGTCTCATACTTCTGGCATTTACGATGACCTGTCATTCTGAGTCCAGGCCACAAAAAGTAAATTTCATCCATTTGTACGCTTGACGTGTTTTATATATATTGTGATCAACAATGCTACTGTCTGGCACTAACCGTGAATAAGGGCATAGACAAGGGATATCATGCAAAGTAACATTCCAGAATCCTCTTCTACTCTACAATTGAGTAGGTTTCCATGTCCTGTGTGTTTGTCGACAGAGGTGTAGCTGACATAAGATATCTTATATTTGTCATTGAGGTCCAAAACGCAACTATATTTTTAATATTGGCAACAGACAGGAAGACTTTTCTCTGCATGTGCAGCTGTGCCCAATCCAGCAAACCGGTGAACACAGCTTGTCGGTGTGTTGGTTGCATTACTGCAAGTTAAATGCCAGGAGCTGAAGTGTGTTAGATGAAAGTGATGCCTGAATAGTTTTTAGCCAAATATGGAATTTAAAATTCTGGTGTGTCAATAATAAACCTAATTACTGTTCATTTTTAATAATTGTTATATGCTTATATGACATCTGCTCATTTCTCAAAAACATATGAATAAAAGAAGCTTTTCTCCAAAAGTCTACTAGACATAATTCTGTAGCCGGTGGAATCTCAAAGTATTTTTTTTTCCCCAGCAGAATATTACCATATTAGACTTATATCTGGGAAAATGTAGGTTTTTGCTCTGGTCACCTACCAGTGATATTTAACTCAAAATTAAGGGAAAATGTAAAAAAAAAAAAACTGTGTCTCTCTCGCCCTCATAGAATAAAAATAAGACCCATCTTAAGCCTGAAATGTTCTGTATGCACACTATGCATAGGTAACACCCCACCCGAAAATAAAAAATAAAAGACTTAAACCCTTCACATTATAAATATTCAGCAATCTTTAGCACTACATTAGGACTTAAGTTCTAAGTCTAAAAAACAAGAATGTTAATATATGTACAAGCACCTTGGATTCTCTACAGATCAGCTGTTAGTAAACTAGGACCATCCTGAGCGGAGATATTAAGGTTTGCGTAAACATTAAAAACTTTAATTTGCTTGAAATGTCCTGTTTGTGCCTTACAGAAGGTTGTAATGCTGAGATGTTAGAATTTCCTATAATTAACATAAATATGAAAATGTATTATATAAATTATATATATATACACACACATATATACACACATACATATATATATATACACACAAACACAGGGACTGGGGTATTTTCTCCTAAAGAAATATGACTATGTACACTTTATTTTTTTTCTTTGTTAATCATTTTACAACTAATCGGGAATCAGTAAGAGGGGATTACCTCTGGTATGCAGACAGAATTATTCACTAAATAATGAGTTTCCAGGAATTCACAGTGAATTTAGAGTGAAATTCTAATTTTATGCCAAAATAGCTGAAGTAAAAACATAGCTGAATTTCCCCAATTTGACATTTCACACTGAATAACCCTGTATGTGTAGACTTATCACTAAAAGTCATAAACCAAAATTTATAAATGTTTTTAATTACAGTTAAAGGGCCTCTCCAAGCGACAAAGATGAAACAATGTATGAGATAGAACATCTCGCAAAGAACGAATCGTGGGTTTTTTGTGCAATGAAGAGTGAAGTCCCCATTGTCTCCTATTTACAGGACGAGTATCTCCAATGAGAGAGTTGTATGATTTGAATAAATGTATTCACAGCAGTTGACATTTTTTCCACAGACCAAGAGCTTCCCCAGTAGTACCATTTGTCTGTGTGTGATGCTACACTCAGAAGTTTACCTGAACACAAAGCTTTTTTCTTTGAAGGCTATGAGAAGATCATCTACTGGTTGGAAAGTCTGGTGAGGGAGGTTTTGGGGGGGAAGTACATTTTTATTTACATGTATAAAACATTTTCACTAGAACGCATTAAAATGGTTGCAAAATGCACCCTGGAGAGTGTTTAGCTTAGTGGTTTACAGTTAAATGGACACTGCAGATCCATAAAGCACTTTAGCTTGCTGAAAAGCTTTATGTGTGAAGACTGTGTCCTCTTTTTTCATTTTGTAAAAAGTGCAGATTCCAACAGAAATGGGCACTTTTATAAAATTAACTTGGTTCCGCCCCCTTGGCTTACAAGCAGACAACAGGTCCTGTTAGTTACTGGTTTGTTTAGCTCAGTGGAGCTAAACCCAAGAGACAGCAAGGGCCCAGAACAGCTGCCTTGCAAAGACTTCTCATTGAACTGCATTGGGAAGTCTGTGATTGGGCAGCCACAGAATGTCTGGGTGTGGTTAAAGGGGAGGGCTTACAAAGGCTGCCAAAAAGAGAACTGCAGATATCGCAAACTGTTTTTATATATATAACCGCAAAGAAAAATGCATAATTAAATACATTAGGGATAGACCAATATTGTTTTTTTTTTTAAAGCCGATACCGATAATCTGTAAACTTTCAGGCAGATAGCCGATAACGTGCCGATATTCTGTACATTTACCATTTTCAAAAAATAAACCATTTCTAAAGGTAAATGCACAAAATATACATGCAACATGTAGTGCATGCAATGTGTTTAGACAGGGGAGCTGTGTGCGTGCATATATATATATATATATATATATATATGTATATAATGAATGCAGCGTGTGTGTGTATGTATATAATGAATGCAGCGTGTGTATATAATGAATGCAGTGTGTGTGTGTATATATAATGAATGCAGTGTGTGTGTGTATATATATAATGAATGCAGTGTGTGTGTGTATATATATATATAATGAATGGTGTGTGTATATAATGAATGGTGTGTGTGTGTGTGTGTATATATAATGAATGGTGTGTGTGTGTGTATATATATATATAGAATGCAGTGCGCGCGCGCAAGGAATGCAGTGCGCGCGTGCAAGGAATGCAGTGCGCGCGCGCAAGGAATGCAGTGTGTGTGTATATAATAAATGCAGTGTGTGTTTGTATAGTGTGTGTGTATATAATGAATGCAGTGTGTGTATAGTGTGTGTGTATAAAATGAATGCAGTGTGTGCGTGTGTTTGTATAGTGTGTGTATATAATGAATGCAGTGTGTGTTTGTATAGGGTGTGTGTATATAATATAATGAATGAATGCAGTGTGTATATATATATATATATATATATATATATATATAATGAATGCAGTGTGTGTGTGTATATATATATAATGAATGCAGTGTGTGTGTGTGTATACATATATAATGAATGCAGTGTGTGTGTGTGTATACATATATATATAATGAATGCAGTGTGTGTGTGTGTATACATATATAATGAATGCAATGTGTGTGTGTGTATACATATATAATGAATGCAATGTGTGTGTACATATATAATGAATGCAATGTGTGTGTGTGTGTGTACATATATAATGAATGCAATGTGTGTGTGTGTGTGTGTGTGTGTGTGTGTGTGTACATATATAATGAATGCAATGTGTGTGTGTGTATACATATATAATGAATGCAATGTGTGTGTGTATACATATATAATGAATGCAATATATATATATATATATCTATATATCTCTCTCTCGTATTTATCGGCGTATAACACGCACTTTTCTCCCTGAAAATAGGGGGCAAACTATGGGTGCGTGTTATACGCCGGCCCTTTAAATGCTGGAGCCGCCTGAGCGCTCTGTCAAGAGCGGTCAGGCGGCTGCAGTTGGTTCTCACCTCCCCTCCCGCGTGGCTGAGCTGCTCTGCTGTCCGCGGTGGTCGGCCGGAGTGATAGGAAGGTGCACGCTCAGTGTGCACCTTCCTGTCAGTCCGACCGGGTACAGGAACAGAAACCCTGTCCTGCAGAGGGAGGGGCAAGAAGGAGGAGGGGGAGTAAGAAAGGGGGCAAGAAGAGGGGAGGGGATAGTAAGAAAGGGGGCAAGAAGAGGGGAGAGGGAGCAAGAAGAGGGGGGAGTGGGGGAAGAAAGGGGGGGGTAAGAAGAGGGGGGGAGGGGGCAGAAGGGGGTAAGAGGGGAGGGGGGGAAGCAAGAAGAGGGGGGGAGTAAGAAAGGGGGTAAGAAGAGGGGAGGCAAGAAAGGGGGGTAAGAAGAGGGGAGGGGGGGGGGAGGCAAAGGGGGTAAGAAGAGGGGGGAGTAAGAAGGGGGTAAGAGGGGGAGTAAGAAGAGGGGGAGGGGGGAGTAAGAAAGGGGGGAGTAAGAAGGGGGTAAGAAGTTCTTTATTTGAAATTTAAGTTTTTTTCCCCCTGAAATTTCCTTCTTAAAATGAGGTGCGTGTTATATGCCGATAAATACGGTATATAATGAATGCAGTGTGTGTATATATATATATATATAGATATATATATATATATAATGAACGCAGTGTGTGTTTGTATAGTGTGTGTATAATGAACGCAGTGTGTGTTGGTATAGTGTGTGTATAATGAACGCAGTGTGTGTGTATATATAATGAACGCAGTGTGTGTGTATATATAATGAATGCAGTGTGTGTGTATATATAATGAATGCAGTGTGTGTGTATATATAATGAATGCAGTGTGTGTATAGTGTGTGTGTGTGTATATAATGAATGCAGTGTGTGTATAGTGTGTGTGTGTGTGTATATAATGAATGCAGTGTGTGTATAGTGTGTGTGTGTGTATATAATGAATGCAGTGTGTGTATAGTGTGTGTGTGTGTATATAATGAATGCAGTGTGTGTATAGTGTGTGTGTGTGTATATAATGAATGCAGTGTTTGTATAGTGTGTGTGTGTGTATATAATGAATGCAGTGTTTGTATAGTGTGTGTATATAATGAATGCTGTGTGTGTGTTTGTATAGTGTGTGTGTGTGTTTGTATAGTGTGTGTGTGTGTTTGTATAGTGTGTGTGTGTGTTTGTATAGTGTGTGTGTGTTTGCATAGTGTGTGTGTGTGTGTGTTTGTATATGTGTGTGTGTGTTTTGTATAGTGTGTGTGTGTGTTTGCATAGTGCGTGTGTGGCGTGTGTTTGCATAAAGTGTGTGTGTGTGTGTTTGTATAGTGTGTGTGTGTGTGTTTTACAGTGTGTGTGTGTGTGTTTGTATAGTGTGTGTGTGTTTGTATATGTGTGTGTGTTTGTATAGTGTGTGTGTATATAATGAATGCTGTGTGTGTGTTTGTATAGTGTGTGTGTGTTTAGACAGTGTGTGTGTGTTTGTATAGTGTGTGTGTGTGTTTGTGTAGTGTGTATATAATGAATGCAGTGTGTGTTTGTGTAGTGTGTATATAATGAATGCAGTGTGTGTTTGTATAGTGTGTATATACTGAATGCAGTGTGTGTTTGTATAGTGTGTGTGTGTGTTGCAGTGTGTGTGTTTGTATAGTGTGTGTATATAGTGTGTGTGTGTGTTTGTATAGTGTATAAAATGAATGGTGTGTGTTTGTATAGTGTGTATAAAATGAATGCAGTGTGTGTTTGTATAGTGTGTATATAATGCAATGAATGCAGTGTGTGTTTGTATAGTGTGTATAAATATAATGAATGCAGTGTGTGTTTGTATAGTGTGTATATAATGAATGCAGTGTGTGTGTGTTTGTATAGTGAGTCTATAATGAATGCAGTGTGTGTGTGTTTGTGTAGTGTGTATATAATGAATGCAGTGTGTGTGTTTGTGTAGTGTGTATATAATGAATGCAGTGTGTGTGTTTGTGTAGTGTGTATATAATGAATGCAGTGTGTGTTTGTGTAGTGTGTATATAATGAATGCAGTGTGTGTTTGTATAGTGTGTATATACTGAATGCAGTGTGTGTTTGTATAGTGTGTATATACTGAATGCAGTGTGTGTGTTTGTATAGTGTGTGTATATAATGAATGCAGTGTGTGTTTGTATAGTGTATAAAATGAATGCAGTGTGTGTTTGTATAGTGTGTATAAAATGAATGCAGTGTGTGTTTGTATAGTGTGTATAAAATGAATGCAGTGTTTGTATAGTGTATATAAAATGAATGCAATGTGTGTTTGTATAGTGTGTATAAATATAATGAATGCAGTGTGTGTTTGTATAGTGTGTATATAATGAATGCAGTGTGTGTGTGTTTGTATAGTGAGTCTATAATGAATGCAGTGTGTGTTTGTATAGTGTGTATATAATGAATGCAGTGTGTGTGTTTGTGTAGTGTGTATATAATGAATGCAGTGTGTTTGTATAGTGTGTATATAATGAATGCAGTGTGTGTTTGTATATTGTGTATATAATGAATGCAGTGTGTGTTTGTATAGTGTGTATATACTGAATGCAGTGTGTTTGTATAGTGTGTATATAATGAATGCAGTGTGTGTTTGTATAGTGTGTATATAATGAATGCAGTGTGTGTTTGTATAGTGTGTATATAATGAATGCAGTGTGTGTGTTTGTATAGTGTGTATATAATGAATGCAGTGTGTGTGTTTGTATAGTGTGTATATAATGAATGCAGTGTGTGTGTGTTTGTATAGTGTGTGTTTGTGAAGGGATGTAATTTGTATAAAATGGGCAGGAGGGGAGGCATTTTTTTATTTTAATTGTATTTTTAATATTTATATGTTTTATTAAACATTTCTTATCTGCAGTGTTTTTCTTATTGTAATATTTATATGTTTTTATTTTTTGTCCACCCTCCCTGCTTGTTACCTTCCAGGGAGGGGGGATATGGCATTCCCTGGTGGTCCAGTGGCATGGGCAGTGCAGTAGGGGGGCCGGCAGCAAGCTGTTACCTCCCAGCAGCTCCCCAGTGTAATTCTCGCGGCCTGTGTGCCGCGGGGAGGATTGCCATGGTAACCCATGGCAACGCTCTGCAGCCGCGGGACTCTCGAGATTTGACATGGGAGCTGAAGTAACAGCTTGCTGCCGGTCTTGGTATGTATTATCGGCAATATCGGTATCTATATTGGCAGATACCGATATTACAGAAAATAACGAATATCGGCCGATAATATCAATAAAACCGATAATCGGTCGATCCCTAAAATACATGCAAGTTTTCATTTGAGGTATATGTATTAAACAGTGAATTTTATTAATTTTGTATTTGGGCAGTGGATGATCCTTTCAAGTAATACTGATATTTAATCCACAGCTTTATTTCTAAACAAAAACTTAAAAATTATACAAAAATGCAGCATAAGGAATCAAGTCTCTTAATCAATTACTTGTGAAGCATTAAAAAAAAAAAAAAAACTGACCTGCAAATGTTTTAAACTTTGTCTCATTTTCAAAAACGCATCTGCTGATTTTTCAAAGCGTGACAGCAAGTCCAGGACACTACAAGAGAAGAAGCAGAGATGTAAAAAAACCTCCCCCTATTAATAGCTTTTTAATTTCAAATCACCAAATATTACAGAAAATCCCCAATGGCCTACAGATCTCAACCAACTAAAATGTGATGTGTTGAGAATGCTCTTCCATACACGATAACTCTATGCAAGGTTATTTATGAAGGAGAGATTTCCAGAGACTTTATATACTTGTATCCAAGGCGAATTTCAACATTTAGGCCAATACAGCCGAACTGGTATAATAACCAACTGAAATGGGAACTGCAAATATTAGGCCAATATAGCTTAACTGGGACAATTATTCAGCTCTAAATATCTAAATACTTTGCAAGCTCACAAAGTCTCCACAATACCCGGTTTAATAAATAAAACACCTATATGTAATAAAAGATCTGACAACATTAGGGCCATGCAATCTGCTACTGAAGAGAGCGACTGCCTAGTAACATTTTTAAAACCCTAAAATAACCAATAATCCAGAACTGTTTGGAATATCTCAGTCTGTGAGCTGTTGAAATGCTGTCAGATATTTAGAGTTCTCTATAGAGAGCAATTTGGGGGTGAAATTCTGATAGTGGAGCGATCACCATGGAAACCATCTATAAGATCCAGCTGATTGCTCCACCTTTAGCCCTTTTATTCCCAAACTGTACTTGATACACATGGGATAATGTTTCATGTCTCTTGTCATAAGGAGACTCCTATGCACTGACAAACTACAGGCAGGGAGCCTCACTCTCCCCTCCAGAATAACCACGCAAAGCTGAAGATTGATATTGAAGTATAGACATGTAATCCAAGCAACAGTGAAAATTTCAATCTGGTCCTTCAGAAGGACTGAATACAATTGTCATTTACCAGGATCTTATGCTTCTGTTCGCGATATCCCCGAATCCCGAGGTAGGGACAGTTTGGTAGCAAAGTGGAGAAATGTCAATGTCCGTGTCAGCGTATTGTAAAATATTCAAACTGCGCAATTCAGGAATGTTCGAAAGACCTAATGTCACCTTATATGACTTTCACCTCCTTACACATAGTCTTCTGCCAGAAGGTGATATGAACAGCAGCCTAGCACAGGTGGAGAGGGATGGTCTCGCCAATCAGTTCGAGTTGTAAAATGTCCCAAATAAGAACTAAAACGCAGGCTCTCCCTCCACTTCATGTTCCCTTCCAGCTACGGTATTAACCTTTTATCCAATGCACAGCGCAGCATAGTATATTATAAACTTTATAAAGAACAATAAACAATCTCATCTCATATTTCACAGCCAACAAGCAGGGAATGGTTACCACAATCTTTGAAGCGTGCATGACCGAAATGTAATAGAAATATGCATCGCACCATCTAAAAAAAGATCATCTTACTATTGTTAGTCCTTTTGAACAAAACAAAATATATCAGAATAACACGGCATATTAATGCATTTGTATATGAAAACAGGTGTTACAAAAACAAATAAAAATAAAATGCTAAGAAATAGCCAGAACGAAGATTTTTATATACCTTTACTGGCGGTGTAATTTACAATTCATAGTTCTGGTGTCTAACAGTTCACCTGAGGCTTTTATAATGGGGTATATTGATAAATATTCTGTGTTTAAGGAATAACAAAGATATTTAAATTTTAAATGACCTATTTAGGGGGGGCATCACATGGAAGGCACCACACTTTGTACAGACATGGTCTATTTTTCATGCGCACTAGCTTTTAAATACAAGAGGAGCTGAGCAATGTATTGCTTTGTCTTAAAGGTTTTTCAAAGCATGTTTGGACCACAGTATCACATACAATCCGTTTGTTTCTCAATAAAAATGCAATAAAACCAGTAAAATACACACAGCAATGCCAGAGAGAGCCTTTTGTGTTACAATGTCTTTCTCCTGAGTCAGCCCAGTGAGTTATGGTGGAATGGCAATGGCAACTAACACATGCTACGACCTGACTTACTCAGCATTTTCATCTGTAGGATGCTGCCCTCTGCTGGTGCTTTCAGGCACTTTACGATTAGACTGAACAGGTTCACCTGTAGAAAGATCCCAATAGTTTAGAAAACGGATACATAGCATCAGAAGACAAGTTCCAGTCCAAGGATGTTCTGCCTAAAAGACTAATAATAGTATTTAACACAGATTATGAAACCCAATTTGGTTATAAACAGATTTCCATTGTAATATGGATTGCAACAGACAATTAAGTTATTGGACGTATTAAAGTGTCTTAGCAATACCAAATGTCCTGCTAACGTATAAAGCAGAAGTTAACGTTGGGCCATACGCTCTGGGAAAAGGGAGAGTCATGCCAAAATAATTTGGTGCTGGGATTTCGTACAATATGTATTTTGCTAAATTAAAACTAAATTTACAGTTTGTAACGTGTACCTGAAGAGAATAAAGAATCTTAAGGATTCTTCATCGGAAATGTAAGAACGAAATAGTTGAACTGGCAGCATAGTTGACCCAGAAAAATGCTCCAGTTCCGCTATTTTCGCCTTCGATTTGAAATTCACTTTGAATTGACTGTAAATTCTCCCTTTAGTAATAAACGATTCATGTCATTTTTGCAGAAACCGTTTGATACAGGAGTATAAATACAAAGTAAATTAAAATAAGAGACAATCCCTAGTTTGGTTTGTGCATATATTGTTTTGCACATTAAAATGTCTTCACCATTAAAAAGTAACAGCTTAAAAATTTGACAAGTTCTGGTGCAGTAGGTGGAACAGTGTGCAATCAAAAAAGAGATGACCTTATTCCTCTCCTGGAATTTTATTGGCTGTCGACTGCGTTCGAATTTAAAATGTGCCTATATTCTACATTCATAAATACTGACTGTAATATATTACCCTGACTGTTAGCATTGGGAATGGAGTAGATGTAAAAAGTGTGCTGTAGTGGTTATGGTACTCGGAATGCACTTTAAAGTTGCTTTGCGGAAAAAAAAGTAAGTATGCTGTAACTTATCTATAACTGATGCAGAACATAGGTAGAATGAAGTAGCTCTTTAATAAAAAGCTATAAGATGTTAAGTCTATTCCCTGCTGTATAGAATTCGGCTTTGAAGGAACACAGAAAAAAATGGACTTGCCTTGTCTCTTATCTTGCTGAAGACCTTTTGCATTGAGTTTATTGGCCACAGGAGGAGTGCTTATTTTGCATGTTCCCGTTGTTGGGGAATATAAATTAAATTGGAGGGGTGTCCTTGCTGGCGAAGCTTCATTCTGTTGGAAAGTGAGAGAGACCGAAAATGTACATTAATTAATATAATACTGCAATTACCTGCACTGCTGATGAAGAGAAATAGTTTACCTATAGAGCACCACCACATTCTGTAGTGCTGTACAGCAGGGTTCCGAAAAAAGACAAACAATGAATGCTGCGCTAAATATAACATTCTTCAGAGGGATATTAATGAAAGTAGGTGTACCTAAAACAAAAACTTAATTAAAAAAAAAAAAGAAAAGCATATGTATTAAGCACATCTGCCTCAACTGTAAAAGAAAAAAAAAAAAGCTGAAAAAGGAAAAGGAAAAGAAAGAAAAAATAATACATGAGGGGAAGCGGAGCTAAGCTGCCGAGCGGATGTGAGCCAACAGAGCTTGTGCAATATCGGTCCCCACATTGTGTAAAAACACTGAAAAACAAGCTTGAAATCAATGCACAGTGTGCTAAACAACCGGTGTGTGAGCTGACAACCCGGGGAACACATTACCCAACACCGTTACTGACGGGAGCTGGAGAGGGGCGGCCACTCTCCCTACTCAATGGAGCAGATTTGTTACCCTCCCCGACCGACTCTCCTGGACTTTGGAAAAGCTTTGGGAGCTTTTCTGGCAAAGGATCCAGCGACGAGCTGCAAGAGCAGCACAAACACCTTAGCATGATCCCACTAGCATTACTACTCGGCTACTACCAGCTGGGCACGACACTGCCACAAAAACAACGGCTAAGAAGCAGAGGCGGACACCTTGGAAGGCAATAAAGAACAGACAGCTCAGACCTGCTACGACCCGTTACCTCCCTCGGCAACGGTCCAACCTGGGACAATACCCCAAATACAACTCACCCCCTCGGAAGGCCAAGTCGCACCACCCCAGCATGAATCCGGACAAAAAGCCTTGAGATCAAATCCTTCATGATACTGGCAATGGAACCTGTGAGAATAGTGCTCTGGACTGTATTAAGGCCTGGGGCTTGTGGGGGGATAATTAATGGAACTTGTGTCGCTTTTCTTACCAGGGCTGTACCCACTACATGGGAGGGATAGGCGGAATTTCCCAACTCCACTGCTGACCTCTGTAGCCTTGGCTCACCACATAACTGTAGACAGGCGTAATCACTCACGCTCAGTCCTTTGTCTCTATTAGACCCATAAAGGGCATTGTCTAATAAATTCCTGCACTCCTGCCCTCCTAATTTAAGATATTAGTTTTCAATATCAAGTGGTTCTGTTTACACATCTTTTGTTTTCGATGGGGGCCACCAGTGGCATTATCCTCTTGTTGCTATTCTAGTAATAATACTCGTGGACACTATAAGCATGTTTTATAACACTGAAGCACTGTCAGAGTAGCCAGAATGCTATTACGTGACTCCATACTGACATATTTACTAGGGATCGACCGATATAGATTTTTAGAGCAGATACCGATAATCTGTGAACTTTCAGGCCGATAGCCGATAACTTATCGATATTCTGTACATTTACCATTTTGAAAAAATAAACTATTTCTAAAGGTAAATGCACAAAATATACATGCCACGTGTAGTGGATGCAGTGTGTTTAGGCAGGGGAGCTGTGTGTGTTTGTGTAGTGGATGCAGTGTGTATAGTGAATGCAGTATTTGTGTAGTGTGTATATTAATGAATGCAGAGTGTGTGTGCTTGTGTAGTGAATGTAGTGTGTGCTTGTGTAATGAATGCAGTGTGTGTAAAGTGAATGCAGTGTGTGTAAAGTGAATGCAGTGTGTATATACTAAATGCAAAGTGTGTGTTTGTGCAGTGTTTGTATAGTGAATGCAGTGTGTGTGTATATAATGCATTGTGTTTGGGGGGAGAGGGCATTTTTTAAATTAAATTTTTAAAACACTTTTTTAGTTCCCCCCCTCCTCCCTGCTTGTTGCCTGGCCAGAGAGTGGGGATATACCATTCCCTATATACCATTCCCTTGTGGTCCAGTGGCATGGAAAGTACAAAGGGGGCCCGCAGCAAGTGCTTACTTACCTTCCCAGCAGCTCCCTGTGTAAGTCTTGCGGCCTGTGTGCCGTGCGGAGTGTTGCCATGGTAACCCGTGGCAACGCTGCCAGCTGCAGGACTCGCAAGATTTACACAGAAAGCTGAAGAGAGCTGCTTGGAAGGTAAGAGCTTGCTGCGGGCCCCCCCAGGACCGCTGGTCCTTGTATGTATTATCGGCAATATCGGTATCTCTATTTGCCGATACCGATATTGCTGAAAATACCGAATATCAGCCAGACCGATAATCGGTCAATCCCTAATGTTTACCATTCAGTTTCTTGATTAGCTTTATTTTACTTATAAAAATTGTGCAGTTACTTCATATACCAAGTCAAAGTTATACCTTGTCTGTCACTTGAATTGCTTGCTCAAACTGTGTTGGTATCGCAAGTCTGTATGTAATCGCATGCGCAGCAAAAATAAAGAATTATAAAAAAAAATAGACAAAACTTTAGAACTTTAACCCCTTAAGGACCAAACTTCTGGAATAAAAGGGAATCATGACATGTCATGTGTCCTTAAGGGGTTAAAGAACACTATAGAATCAAGAATACAAACATGTGCCTGACCCCACTCTCTCCGGAGATTAAAGGTGATTTTACTCACCTGTTCTCCCTTGCCGTGGCTAGCCCTCATCAATTTTTTCAATGATTCTCTATGGCAGAATCTTAGGGACATAACAGTGAGCACCGTGCATATGCCCAAGACCTCCAAAGTTTCTCTATGAGGTATCACTTGAAAAGGTTTTGGCAGTGCCGAGGGAAAGTCGTTGCTGGAGAAAAGGCAAGTTATTTGTTTAATTGTAATGAGCTTTTTTAATTTTATACATGGGGCGGGAGGGGGGGAGGGAAGAGGAGAGAAGGGGCGCACCTCAATGATAACGGGCATCAAGGCTGAAGTGTTAAGAATATAGATATGTAGTGTTCCTATGACGAACTATCACTTCTAAGGAAGATGCATACTGTTAATGTAAACATCACCCATTAACTATGCTTACCAAAAATAGCACAAAATATTTGTAAAAATGGTAACATGGGCCCTTTCCCCAAGTTTGAATGTGTACGAGCATACAATTAATCATAGGAAAAGAATACCAATCATTCAACTTGCAACAGAGGTAAGATAATTTCTACTCATTTGCCCTGTAGACCCAGTAAAAGCTTTAAGTAATAGGTGACCGTTTCTTTAAAATTCACGAATCCACTGAGCACCAAGAAAACAAAACCCTCCTGACGCGCTCTGCTAGCAGTGCTTTGTGAGAATTCAGTGAAAAAAAATAATCTTTATTTTCTCGCTATTTGCCTCCTCTTCTAACTACCAGTCGTTACAATTTCTTCACCTTCAGTACCTACTCTGCCACCCACCACTGGCACGAGAAGAGAATAAACAAGTGTATCAAGATCCATTTGGCACCGGGTAAGATACATTTGGCGGCCAGATTACGAAGTGACGGCATTCGCAAACATAACAGTAATACTTCAGCTTTATTTTTTATTGTAGTAATGGCGGGGTAATTTATAAATGCGGTGGTATTTTACGGCTTAATTACGACAGATTAGCAGTGGTAAACAATTATAGTCTCCACATAAAAATGCCTATCTGCTTTTCATTTCCCGCTTGCATATTGTAATCTGTACAATGCAACATTATCATAATTCCATATTGTTCCCATGTAGTGGCCGATGACAAGACTGCGATTACAAAGCTCACAGCTGATAAATGACTCCCTTTCAAAGTCGAACACATTCTATTTAGAAAATGACTACAGGGCAGGCAAAAAATACACTTGTCTATTTCTTCATTACAAGTCCATCCTGTCGACAGGCCTTAAATCCAAAGCCAGTGTACTGCGGTAAATGTTCCCAGTCTAAGCAAGTTAACGGCTGCTGTATCCAGCTCCTAATACAATCTAGATTGATTATATAATTGCGGCAGGTGCAAATTTAAAGATCTTCAACATATCAATTATACCCCACATGCATCAGATTTTGAAAGGTGTCTAAGCAGAGTCTCATCGCCTCTTGTTCCAGCGAATTTTTTGAATTCACGTGCTTTTAAATTTCTATTATTCATTGCACAATTGTCTTTTATAAATACAAATAAGAATGATATTGTGGCGCAGCTGATGAATATTTAACGATTTCACTACCTGCCTGCACAAAAGAAATAATTCACACAAGAAAAAAAATTAGGATGGCACTCCAAGTACCCACACATGATAAAAGAACATTTTAGAGAGATATGAAAATTTACATGTATTAACAACGATATAATGTTCTATTACTTAAAGGGATTCTATAGTGTAATGAATACAAGGCTGTATTCCTTACACTATACTTCCATCGGGCCCTCCTGGCACTCTAAGGTTTAAAAAACCCTTTATTACTCACCTGATTCCAGCGCCGTTGTCCCTCTACGCTGGGTCGTCACTCCACCTTATCCAATGGTCTATTGCTGCAATGCTTTCCTATGGGGATTTTACGGACTCTGGATGTCCTCATACAGCGCATGAGGATGTGCAGCATCAGTTAGCAAGCAGGAAGTGCCTCTAGTGGCCGTCTGATTGACAGCCACTAGAGGCAGTCTTAGTCTTGCAATGTAACCTTTGCAGTGTCTTTAATGATGCAATGATTTACATTGTAGGACTAAGGGGGACGGAGAGATTGCACCCAGACCACTTCAATGTTGATGAAGTGGTCTTGGTACCTACAGGGTCACTTTAATTAGATTATTCATCATTTAAAAAAATAAAATAAATATATATATATATATATATATATATATATATATATATATATATACACATACATATATACATACATATATATATACATACACACACACACACACACACACACACACACACACAGCTTTTTACTTACCTTTATTGCCACGGCAAGCTCTGCAAGTCTGCCCTGACTCAAATCATCAAAACCATAGAGGTTTATTTACTAAACCAAGAATTTAATGTCAACTTTAAATTTAAGGCCAAAGTAGCCAAATTGAAAGCAAAGCTGAATTAGGGAATTGTTTCAATTCGACTGTTCTGTCCCCATTGGGTTTGTCGAGCTCTGGCATTCAGTTGGCTAAACTGAGCCACCCTGGCACCTGGAAGTCAATTGGGAGCTGCCCATAACAAATAATTCATGTGGGAACCTGGGAATTCCTATGTTCCAGCAACTTGATCCTTAGCAGCCAGAGTGTTTACCTTTTTGTTCTCAGTACCATCCAACCGTAGCGATCTTCGTACTCTGCAAACACAATGAGATGAAAGAATTAAACACATTCACTATATAAAAATGGTGCTATGTCTCCTTGGAAAAAACGTCACAACCGCAATCAGCAGATGTCTATACATTATTACTCCCTACTTCTCAGATTCCAACTGTACACCTCTACAGTCTTCATTATCACTTTGATTTGTCCCCCAACACAGGAGAAGGAGGAAAAGGACTTTGGTCTATGAAAGCTTATATTTTGATACTCCACAATCTGTTGTGGATATACAGAATGTTCTTGATACATTGCTTAAAGGAGAACTGTCACTGCAACACCATATTTCTTTCTTCAAGTTTTGAAAGAAAAAAAGATTGTGTGAGAATTTAAGTAAAAATTGTTTTAGAAAATCTCCTACATACCTTTAGTAAATAATCGGGTCATACATAAACCTTGTGTCAGACGATGTTTGAAAACCTCAATGTAGTAACTATGGTGTTCCCTGCTTCACTCCCTGCACAGTGCAGGGACATCATCATAAATAACGGTCAAATTAAAGGGACAATGCAGGATCCTAAAACACATTAGCTTGCTGAAATTCTTTGTGTGTGAAGAATGTATCCTGTTTTTTATTTTATTTTACAAAACGTTGGCACATTTATAAATGAAAGGGACACCGAAGTCACCAGAACAACTACAGGTCAAGGATCACAAACATATATTCCTGACCCTATAGTGTTAACATCACTATCTAGCCCCCACTTGCCCCCCTTAAATATGGTGAAAACACATTACTACCGCGGATCCACCGGCACTGGCTGACTTCATCAGAATTGATGGCTAAACACCATGCTGACCATGATCAGTATTGAATCAATACATCTATGGGAAAAGTTCAGTGTCTCCATGCAGAAAGTGGAGACACAGAAGGTCAGTGCTGCGCTCTGTGCAGCACTGCCCCAGGGAGCACCTCTAGTGGCCATCTGAGCAGAACTTCTAGTGGCTGTCCGAGTGACTGCCATTGGAGGTGTCCCTGGGCTGTAACGTAAACTGCAGGGACTGACTATACTCGTCAGAACTAAAATAAGCTGTAGTTGTTCTGGTGACTGTAGTGTCACTTTAATGTAGTTGTCTTGTGAATAGTCAGCTCCTGCAGGCATTTTAATGTAAACACGATCTTTTCAGAGAAAAGGCAGTGTTTACATTACTGCCTAGGGACACCTCCAGTGGCAGTCACTCGGACAGCCACTAGAAGTTCTGCTGTGTTGTGCAGCACCGACGTTCAGCGTCTCCACGCTCTGCAGGTGCTGAACTTTCCCCGTAGAGATGTACTGAGTCAATGCATCAATATGAGGAGATGCTGACTGGTGCAGCATTTTTCAGTGAAATTCCAACCCAGTCATAATGAGTATTTTATAAAATTTTATCTTTGTGAAATACAAATTTTTATGGGGTTGATGACAGAGCCGCTTTAACAAAGAAAGGAGAGCAGGAGTCTGACAGGGACCGTGCTATATTTAAAACAATTATCTACTTAGAAATCAGTTTTGTTACTTTTTTCTTTTTAAAATAAAAACATACAATATTAGAAAAGGATTATCATTCTTCACAGATATCAATTGAATAGTTCAAATAACAACAGTATTTTGAAGGGACACACTCGGCCATAACTGGCCTACACATTGCAATGTTTGCTCACTCCGTACAAAGATTCTGAATGTAAAATGAGGGAAAAAACAAAACAAAACATGATGGTAACACCAGTAGAGGTGGCAGGAATGGCAAGGAGATCCCACAGACATTTAGCACCATAACCACTACTAAAAACTCCAATGGTTATGGTGTTTGGAGACTTTGCCTAAACCTGAGATACACTGTCGATAAAGTTATAATATAGTTAGCCTACCCACAATGCCCTTATTCTTTGAATACATAGCATGGTAAGTGGTGATGTCATTATGCGGAATGATGATGTAACCTGGGAGCCATAGGGCTCAACGTGTGTCCCCCTATCTCCTTCTTCTGTAAGTTTTCCCAGGTTTATTTTAACGTCTTCGACTTCCTCCCTTTCACTGCTCCATTGCACAATAATTTGTATTATTGTTTTATTTCAATAAATTATTTATTAAAGATTCCTTCGACTCCAACATGCTGCCTAGTTTCTAATGAGCAGTGAATAAGGGGGAAACAAAAGAAAAAGTAAAAAAATAACTAGCAGCAAATTGTTCTGTGACTTTGGAAAACAGATGGATTGGTTGATAGTTGGAAAACAGTGAGCCTTATAAAACTACGCTATACCAAACAGTGCAAGAGACACGCCAAGCGCTCATCGCCTCATGCCAAAATTTGTTCCTGAACTGGATGCCCAGCTGTTAATAGCAGAAGCTGGAAAAGGAGAGATGAATATTTATAATGCTTTCAATCTCACAGCTGTCATCCAAAGAGCAGACATTAGCATTTTATTACATGTTGACTAAATAACTACAGCAAGAGTGATCTTCCAAAGCCACAAACCATCTTCACACAGGAGCGCTGACAATACAGTACTGTACACAGAATGATAAGGACGGATACAAATTCTACAATTGACAGCAATAAAGGCAACATATAGTTAACATTTTTAAAATATCACCATGAATAGCTTGTCCAATTCTGCAGATATTTTTAAAAAGATGTACAGGGGTTTATAAAAAACAAACAAAAAACAGGAATTTTCAGACAGGCCAAAATAACCATGCCGAAATGGTCTATACTTTAAAATTACAGTTGGCAACTATGATTTCCAGTTTATTAATCAATACCATAGGAATTTGTGAATTAGGCTGGACTGCACCATTACTATGCCATATACGATGTGGATAAAACATCAATAAGTCCAAATTCCCATTTTTGTCATCCTAAATGTAAAACAAGTCTGGGTGATTCCAGTTTGATTTGTATATATAATTTTAAAGCCTTCTGGGATATGAAAAAGAGAGAGTGGTGCAGAATTATACCCCTGTCTCTAATGTTTGAACACAGCTTCCAGTCAATAGTATCTCAACAACACAGAAAGGGGGGCGGGGCCTGACCGCCAAACCGAGTGGACGCACTACACATCAGCTCCGGACCAAAATTCACATTAATGCCTAAACTCACTGCTCGGTAGCCCTTTCAGGCTGAAAACATATGACCGGAGGCTCCTGGGCATCTCGAGAAGCAATTAGGGATCCAGAGCTGACTTGCGGCAGCCGACAGGCAACACTTGAGGCCTGGTCTAGGGCCTGGCGGGGGAGGCGACCGATCCTCCGACCGGACCTGGCCGGGCACACCAGGAGTGCGACAAGGGCCCTGCACCCCCCCCTGTGGTCCGGTGGGGGTTATCCCGGACTCCACCAAGTTAACACTCACCTTGGTAAAGCTGCAAACGAACAACCATGGCTACACAGCCTGCAGAGACACAAATCAGCCGGAGCTCATCCAAGATGGCCGCCAAGCTAAGGCCAGAGAGAGGGAGCATGGGCAGCCATTCACATGCTTACTCCCTGGAGGCCCTTGACCGGCTCTGCTCGAGCCTATGCGCGATACTATGTGACGGCGGAATGCCATACCGTCAAGCAACCTGTGTGGTGGCCTCATGGATTCGTCCTGCGACCCGCCGGTGCCATTATGGACTCCCACTGCAGACTTTCAAAGCGGCCATCCAGCCACGCAAGCATCGACGACCACAATGGCGGGAAAGGGACTCAAGCGACCCGGGCGCACACGCTCGCTTCCACACACACAGGACGGAGACCGCCGGGCAAACCCAAAGCCCAAGCAACATACCCAAGAACAGAACCCCAGGCCAGCATGTAACCACTCTGCATTCCAGGGCTAAAGCGGAACATCACACCGCAGCACAGGCGAAAACCAAGCAAAACCCAGCGGGAGCTGGGCCCACAAAAAGGGACTCCAGGCAGACCACTGAGACTACTTACCCACAATGGCCAACTCCGAGGGGGCACCTACCATGCCGCACAAGTGCATATAGCACCCAAGAGACTCACACTCAGCGCCAACAGCCCAGCAGGGCAGGCATCGGCTGACCACGGAAGACCCCACAAGCTGAGGCCCAGACAACTCTCCCGGGCCCCGGAGTGGATTTCTGAGCAACAGCACTGACTCTCTGGGCACCAGGCTATACTGCCTCACAGACTCCTCTCTCTCTCTATAAAACCGCATATGCTGTTGGCGAACTGAGTTGGAAGCGTAAGCTCAAGTGAAGTCCTACTCACACCCTGATCTGCCAGGCAAAACAAATAGTTTAACAATAATTTAACACTGTTTCTCTTTTTCCTTAACATGCTACATAGGCAAGTAACTTACAACACTAGCCTGCTTCACATAAGTTAGCGACACTTTATTATACCTCAATCACCATGCCTAGCTAGCCTCCCTGAGTTAACTTAAATGTATATTCCAACTTGGACATGTGGAACTAGCCTGCTCCCTCTCGAGATTTACCTTAATTTTACTCCACTGTCGTCTAGCTTAGCGCACTTATAACTACATTTACAGCATAACCATGTGTAGCCAGAATCTAGAAAGGGAGTGTTTAACCCAGTCTACCCCAGTTACATATTGCCTAGCTTGATTGTTACCCCCATTATCAACGAAGTTATTTTATGTTATGGAAGAGACTAAGTAATGATAATACATACTGTTTATTACCTGACGTAATCATATATATGTATAAAAATGTGCTAGCCTTAACAAGTACCTCTATGCCTTACTGTTTGAAATGCGCTAGAGGATTGCCTTTGGGGTACCTCACAAGCGACTGTTAAAATCTTACGCACTACAAAAATAAAGAATTATAAAAAAAAAAAAACAACACAGAAAGGGGTGAAGCAATTTAGCTCAGTAGAATGTTACTATAAGCCTGTACCTACGTTGGTCAATTATTGGTACATATAGGTAAGAGAATTACTTATGATGTTGAAGGCAGAAGAAAGCAAAAAAAACCAAAAAAAAAAACCAAGAGGGACTACAAACATTGCCTCCTTGTACCATATCCATTACTACAGTAAGCTGTGATGGTGTTGTTGTATGTCACTTTAAATATCATTTGTATCATGTATTTATACCAACAAAATAAAATGGACGGTCTATTTAGTGTAAAGTATTCATTATTACAAGTTCGAAAAGTTGCCTATTTGAGTGATGAATTACTGATCAACTACACTACATTAAATATATTATTCTATGTATAGAATATATATAGATATATTAATAGAATAGTATATAACGCAATAAAGTATGATAAAAGAAAACACAAATTTTGGTGCGTTGAAAGTGGTCTAGTGTAACGTGGCAAATCCTCAGACACAGAAAAGTGGTTTCAAATTGAGGGCATGCGTGCAGAATGGGCCCATATGCACCAACACATATTCCTACTTACTACTAGGGCGTTTGTACAGTTTTTTGACAACAGGAACACCAGGGGAAAAATAAACAAAAACAGATAAGTCTAATAAGCATGGTCCTGCCAGATCTGGGACAGTATTTAGATTAGGGGTGCACAACTTCCGTCCAGAGAATGCATGACTACTGAACTGCAGCATACAAAATTACACATGTAGCGACAATGGAGCATGTGCGCAGGCTGTCAGAGGAAACTACAATACCACAGTCAGCCAATGGAAACAGGCCCCATTCATAGGAAACCAGGCGTTCGGTCTCTTACTCAAAGTGCTGTGTTTGAACGATGAGAGGTGGGGACTGGTGATAAACTCATACCCCCTGCTCTCCTGCTACACAGAGTGGCGCATGTGAATGGTGGGGATGTGAGCCGCAGCCTGGCACTGAAAGACATATGCTACTTGGGGAAAGCTGTGAATGTAAAATGGGGACCATGGACACATACAGGGCAGTGCGAAGAGGGAATTGACATAGGGAATAGGAGTAATGGGGAGAGACAAGGAAAGGGTGATTGTGAAGAAGTTGGGGAATGACATGTGGGTGGTGAATCAGAGGCAAAATTGGGGATGATGAGAAAAGATAGAAGTGAATACGGTAAGGTGGGAGACATTATGATCAAATCACCACTTTAGCATACTTATTGAGAGTGCATTATATACACACACACATATACATATACACACATACACATCTGTGCATGAGTGTGTTGGTATGTAACCGTGTCAAAAGGCATATCGTGAAGTTGTAATGTTTGGGGAGGGAGTCGCCAAATTTTATTTCAGGCTCAAGCCCCAGATATATTTTCACCCTTGCAATGCCCCTCGTTGACAGCATCACGTGGTTTGTAGTAAATTTACTCCACGTGACATCATATGGCAGTGCCCCCTGTAAGAATTTACCTACCACCTGTCTAAAAAGTTTGTACACTTCTAATTTAGATCTTTCGTTTATGGGCCAGGGCCCAGAAAGCATTGCCCTGACAGACCTGGGACAGTAGGAATGGTATCAGTTTAACTTATGTAACAATAAATACAACTGCTGCTCGGGATTAATTGTTCAATCTAGAATGTCTTTATGGACAGCACCATGGACCTGAATCTGTGAAGCCTTTCTCAACAGTGCAACTTCAAGATCTTTCAAAGTAAACAAACATATATAATGCATTAAAAATTAGGGGTTTATTTTATGGCCAATGTTTCTTTCTAAATGACAGTGAAATATAACCAAGGAAAAGTAGCTTAATTGGTGCCCAGTTGTATTATTATTAAACACATCTACTTGCAAAACCATCAGCTAGTACCCTCTTGCCTGAACTGCCCTAACTATTACTGGAAAACAAACAGTAGGTGGACGTTTGAACTCTTGATATGACATTATAGTCTGCCTTGATAATATATTACCTGTTGCCCAGATAATACACTATTGTATTCATGTTTTCTATGTCATTTAATTTTCTTTTACCATTTGATACAATTGTGCATTGTTCTAAACCATTTGTATGGTCATACATTCAGTGTCCTGTAGGGGTCATGGTGGCACTCATAATGTGGACTTCTTATAAAGTTTAGTCACTACTTTGCCTTCCTTACATCACTTTGTATCACTATATGGGTTATGTCTACACCCTTCAGTCCATTTTATTTTAATCTGATACTGTTGATAAATTATAGTCTTCTAAAAGTAGTCATCTCCTTTTATTAGATGTGTAATAATCCTTGAACAAGATACTTAAACTTCCATCAGACAGTTACAGCCTCATTCAGTATATTAAACTTTCACTTATGCATTAACTTGAACAGTCGCCATCTTTATATCATATGCCATTAGCTTATGACAAATTACAAAACTTTAAGCAATTTCCAGAGTCACTACAGAGGTTTAAACTGCAATTGGATAAATACTTACAAAAACATAACATACAGGGATATAATTTCTAATTAGTGGGGTAATAGCTGCTTGATCCAAGGAGACATCTGACTGCTATTTTGGGGTCAAGAAGGAATTTGTTCCTAGTTTGTGGCAAAATTGGAAGCGCTTCAGACCAGATTTTTGCCTTCTTTTGGATCAACAGCAACAACATATGTGAGGAAAGCTGAACTTGATGGACACAAGTCTCTTTTCAGCTATGTAACTATATAGTCTCCAAAAACCACCAATAAGCTTATATAAGCCTTAACAGATGTTTATCATCACTCTTTTTTGAGATATCACTATAACTTTATATTGCCCATGTTGTCCAAATATCAGGGATCTCTATGAGAAGCATTGGAAACACAAAATGTCTGCAATCAGCATAGTTTGCACTATGACAGGCATCAAATTGATCCAATAATTAAATCTATCTGCAGCCATTAGTAGGTGTGGAAACTGCAAAATGTAAACATTTACAAGGATGAAGGAGCAATATCTAGGCCCCCCAAACCACTTCATTAAGATAAAGCTAAGTTATTAATAAGAAGGCGTTTTTTCCTAGTAATATTGTGGTGTTTGTGATTAGGCTGTTGTATCTCCACTGCTATTTGTTGCAGAGTGGTTGACAAAAAACTTTTAATATTTGCTTTGTGTGTTTGAGGATCAAATTTGGATTTGGGTTTGAAGTGAGTGGTTGGCTGGATCTTTGTACTATCTTTGTTGAAAAAGTCCCGCAGACGGATAGATCTTCCAAATTGAAATAATTCTACATTCGATATCAAGTGATTGGGAGAAGCAGTGGGGACAAATGACAATCCAAGGCTAAGAATCTTTAAATCTTTAAAAGCCTTAAATTACAGGCTTTGATGGTTTAGATCCAGTTTTGATTACCATGGATGTCAGCCTCTATACCATCATCCCGCATGATGTTGGTATAGAGGCTATGAGACAAGTCCTATCTCAGTCTTCCTTGTACTGTGGCCTGCCTATTGAGTTTGTTTTAGAATTGTTGGAATTCACATTGAAATCAAATTATTTTCGTTTTGAGCAAACCTGGTACATGCAGCTTAGGGGCACATCCATGGGCGCTGCTATGGCGCCCATTTACACAAATGCCTTCATGTACATTTACAAAAATAATAACATCTTGTCAACTTATCAACCATACATTTCCAACTATTATCGTTACATAGATTTATTTATAATTTGGAAGGGAACTCAATCAGAAGCATATGATATGGTAGAACATTTGAACTCTCTACCGTCTCCAGTAAAGATGACTGCAGACATCAGTACCACACAGGTAAATTTTTTAGATCTTCAATTAAAGTTTGTGGACAAGAGACTTATTGTTTATACACTAAGCCTACCGATCGAAATACGATCCTCCATCACGATAGCTCTCATCCCCCGGCATTAGTTGCATCCATACCTTATGCACAATATCGACGTGTCATACGTAACAACTCAGAAGCAGATATAAGAGAATAATATAGATATTGGATATGACCCAAAAGTTCAAAGAACGGGGTTATGGTCAACACACTTTGATGTCCGTGCTAAATCACAAAAGCACAAAATACGAGGGGGCGTGGCCTGGAGCTCAACCGCGGCGGTCGCATGCTGGAGTAGCTCCGGCTACACAGGCCTTTATATTAGCGCCACAAGCACCCACAAACCCACCAAGCACCTGCAGCAATGTCCCAACAGAAGGGCAGACGGCACACCGATAAGGGCGACGGGACGAGCTTCTTCACCGCCCGCACGGCAAAAAACGGCGGGAACTCGAGAGGAGGCCCAAGATGGCGCCCATGACGATCCCGCGGATATCCCATCCCCAGCCACAGAAGATGCCCCAGTAACTCAGGGGATCCTACAAAGGATGCTGGACACCATGCATGCCAAGCTGCAAATCACTCTCCAGACTTCTCTGAAAGACATAAGGTCAGACATCCGGGAGCTGGGGGAACGCACTTCCACACTGGAAGAAAAAATGGCGGACCACGCCGAAGCATACAATGACATGAGAGCCACCATGGAAGACATACAAAACAATATGGCAACCTTTGAAGCCAAAATTGCCGACATAGAGGACCGTTCCCGCCGCAACAACCTCAGATTGAGAGGGATAGCGGAATCCGTTGGGACGGCGGACCTGCATGCCCACCTACAGGGCCTATTCAAAGCCCTGATACCGGACGTACACCAAGACATGTTGCTGCTAGACCGCTACCACCGCGTGCCTAAACCGCGATTCCTAACCACAGATACGCCGAGAGACGTGCTGGTGCGGCTACATTACTTCCACACCAAAGAAAACATCATGAGAGCAAGCAGGCAACGTCCAAACCTACCACCTCCATACGAAGGAACGGCGATATATGCAGACATCGCAGCGGCGACATTGAAGAAAAGAAAAACCTTCGCTGGCATCACAGAACAACTGAGAATACACAAGAAACCCTACAGATGGGGATTCCCAGTCAAGCTCTTAATCACTAATGAAGGGAAAACCACCACCATTATGACATCGGAGGCCGGAGAGCGGGCTCTCAGAGAATGGGGCCTACCGTCGCCACGGGACCAACACAGCGCAACAGGAAGAGACAACTCAACCCGTCGTGGAAGAGAGTCTCTAAGAACTGACTGGGAGAACCCACATGGGTCGCAAGCAGTGGCAAGTACAACACAAAATGTTTTGGGGACTGATATAACGGTGGGGAACCGCTTACACAGGGTCAGGGGTTAACGAGGGCATCCCACCCAAACCCCAACACACAGACAGCCACGCTACACGGAATGACCCAGGTGGCAACCCCGTAAAGACTGTAAACAGAGGCCCAAAGCCAGGCACAGAAGGTCTAAGATAGGGGCAAACTCAACACCATAATGAGCAAAATACAAGGCCAACAGACCGAATCGCACAGGCATGGAAGCACACCGCTTCCTCCCCCACAGCGCCTTTATGTGGCGCAAGGCCGATCACACGGCACTATGTTTTACCATTCATGTTTTAGTTACCATGTTTAAACTGTTTAATTTTTTTGTTTTCTATGTTTCACATTGTATGATTACCATGCCACAGGTAACCCAAGGTTCCGCCAGGCAATACAGCGAGCGTACATACAGAGAATTGAAAACCAGGTCCACCAGGGAGACACCACCCAAGTTGAGTAAGCTGGGAAGGGGGGTACTCCCGCAAACAAGAAAGATGACGATACAGCCAACCGAAACCCCAAGGTACAACCCACCATGAAAATATACACACATAACACAAAAGGCCTTAACCACCCGTCCAAAAGGAATCTGCTCCGCAGAGACCTTAACCGACACAAACCAGCAGTAGTGTGCCTCCAGGAAACCCACTTTAAGACAAACGCACATGCACCACTATTCTTGCGAGACTATCCCCACCAATACCACGCCACACACACGAGCAAATCGAAAGGGGCCTCCATACTCATTAGCAAAGACATAGCATTTACCCTCACCCACCTAGAGATAGAAGAAAGGGGGGAGATATGTAATGGTGGTAGGAACATTTAACGATGTGGAATACACGATAAACATATATGCTCCAAATCAGGAGCAAAGGAACTTTATACACAAAATCATCAAAAAAGTAGACACGGCACAAAGGGGAATAGGAATCATATGTGGAGACATCAACCACGTAATGGACCCCACAATAGACACCACAATAGCCTCCAACGCTCCAAGAATGAAACCACTCAGGAGACAGAGCAAGGCAATACGCAAACTGCTTCATGAAAACCACTACTATGACATATGGAGGGCAACACATGTGGGGGAAAGACAATACACCTTTTTCTCGACGGCACACAATACCTACTCTAGGACAGACGGTATACTGTTAAAAGGCCAACACTTAGAACAGGTTAAAGACTGCTCCATAGAACAGATCACTTGGTCAGATCACGCCCCAGTAGTAGCGACCCTAGCTGACCTATATGAATCCTCTCACAGGAGCCTATGGAGACTTAACGAGTCCCTCATCACAGACCCAGAATTCACAAAAACGGTAGAAAAAGAATTAACACACTACTTCATTGAAAACAACACAGAACACATCCCCCACAACACAATATGGCAGGCCCACAAATCGGTGATAAGGGGGACGCTAATAAAGAGAGCAGCCTTCCTAAAAAGAAAAGCACAAATACAAATGCGAGAGTGACAAAAAGAACTCCAGGACCTCACAAATCAGAACCAATCTACCCCAACACAAATAAAACACAATATAGCACACCTCACCACGGAAGCAGGACACAAAGTAACAGCACCCAGGGACATAAGCAACAATTTCGCTAAATATTACACTTCTCTATACAACCTAGCGGACGACCCACACACACATCAGCCACAAACACAGGCCATAAAAACCTATCTAGACACAATACAACTACCCACCTTCACAACTCAACACCAACAAGCACTAAATGCCACAATAACACAAGAAGAGGTAACAACAGCCATCCTCGGCCTGCCATCGGGCAAATCCCAGGCCCGGACGGCTTCGCCAACGGTTACTACAAAAAATTTCACGCCATCCTAGCACCGCACCTAACGAACGCCTTCAATGAAGCCACCTGCCTACAAAAACTACCCGCCGAGACACTGCTGGCACACATTATCACACTCCCTAAGCCAGGGAAACCACCCACATGCCCACAAAACTTCTGCCCCATATCCCTATTGAACACAGATGCCAAGCTTTACGCGAAAATTTATGCGCGAAGACTGGGCTCCTTATTACCACACATTATATACACAGACCAAGTAGGGTTCATCAAAAATAGGCAAGGAGGCGACAACACTAGGAAAGTCATGAACATCATACACAGCGCCCAACGCATGAAGGTGGGGAGTGTGCTGTTGTCGCTGGATGCGGAGAAGGCCTTTGACCGGCTGGGCTGGGAGTTCCTGGAACAAGTCCTTCGAAAATTCGAGGCACCAGAGGGCTTCCTCTCAGCGGTCAGGGCACTATATAGCGCTCCCACCGCACAGGTCTTAAACGCGGGATTCGTCTCAGAGCCCCTCACCATAACCAATGGCTCCCGCCAGGGGTGCCCCCTCTCACCACTATTATATGTGATGGCCTTGGAGCCGCTGGCGGCGGCCATAAGGCAAAACACATCCATCCATGGAGTGACAATAGGGGACAAGGAATACAAGGCGAACTTATTCGCCGATGACATCCTGCTAACCCTTACCCAACCACACATGTCTCTACCAAATTTGATGGCCACTATAACGGAATACGGAAAACAATCATACTACAAGCTAAACATAAACAAGACACAAGCCATAGGCATGGGGATCCGGGAAGACACATTAGAGAGGCTCAAAGCCACATTCCCCTTTGATTGGAGGTCTGACCACTTGACGTTTTTGGGCATAAAAATCCCACCGAATCTAAGCCAACTCCTAGACAAAAACTACATAGCGCTCATGAAAGATTGCCACCACACTGGAATCCTGGACAGGGAAGTACCTATCCTGGGTGGGGCGATTGTCAGCGATCAAAATGATGCTGCTACCAAAGCTCCAATACTTACTACGCACCCTCCCGATACAACTTCCGAAAACTTACATATCCTCCATGCAGAGACTGTTTAACCGCTTTGTATGGGCTAATAAGAGACCTAGGGTAGCTTCAGGGATCCTACAACAACCGGTCATGAGGGGGGGGACTAGGCCTACCATGCATAAAGACATACTATAGAGCAGCCCAATTAACAGTAATCAAAACAGCCACAGCAGAGGGGGAACCATTACAATGAGCCCAGATAGAAGCACACTGGGCAAACAAACAATAAGGGACTTCTTCTGGCTCCCAGGATCCCTACGTCCTAAACTTTTCCAACCCCTACCAACCACAGCCCTAACGCTAAAACACTGGGAAGAGCAGAAAGCTGGGGGGAGAGACCACAGAGCCATAAAAGGACAAGCCCGAATCTCATGCCTGGCGGTGGGCATCCCTTCCCTTGACGTCAAATTGTGGAAGGAAGCGGGCTGCACCACGATCAACCACTTATATAGAGACAATAGCCTGATACCCTTCCCAGAACTCCAAACCCAATATAACATGGCCAGCAAGGCACTGTTCCCCTACCTACAAATCAAATCCCTACTCGCAGGAATCAAACTACAAAAAGACGAGCCTTTAACACATAAGGTAGAAAACCTCTGCCTGACAGACAGGCCCCCGAAGAAAATACTCTCAACACTATGCACGGCCCTAATGGAGGATCAGGCAGAGATCGAAAAGAGTTTCTAAAAAGCATGGCACACGGAACTGGGGAAAACACTGGGAACAGATGTATGGAAGCGGGCCTTCACAATACACAAGGGAAACACACGGTGCACCACACACCTAGAAACCATACGAAAACTACAATACAGATGGTACATGGTGCCAGAAAAATTAACCACAATATACCCCAACACACCCAATATATGCTGGAGGTGTGGAGACACGGAGGGCTCCATGAGCCACATTTGGTGGTCATGCACAAAAATTAGGCAATACTGGGGGGAGGTGGAAAAAATTGCAGAAGACATATTAGATAGACCATGGCCTCTAACTATAGAACAAAGCATATTATTCATGATACCAGCCACACTAAGTAAAACTGAGGAAAAGCTTATATTTCACCTGCTCATGGCAGCAGTAACACTCATAGTGCGGGCATGGAAGTCCCCAACAGCGCCTACAAAAGAGGCTCTCCTAGATCAAATCTCCCTAAACTGGAAATATGAGCTGATGGCAAACAAACACTTAGGAACGCGAAAACATACGGATATAGCAGGGAGGCGATGGCAGGAGTACATACAAGAACAATAAGCTCACCTTAAAACCACCAAGAGAGAGCGACATCACCAGGAAGGGGGGAGTGAAAGGGAGGGAAGGCCCAATAAGAGAAAACCCACGGCAACCAGCAAACAATAACACCAGAGCAGGGTCATATAACAGAGCAACCAACACGACAGGGCAATCAACGTAACACAAGTAAGAAGAAACACGAGATACAACAGAGTGAAGGGGGAAAATCACCTGGGAAAAAGAGGGAAGCGAAGGGGGCACAAACTCTGAGGGAACCTATCGATGTACTGTACAAACCCTATGCTGTAACAAAATGTCCCTACACTATCCCGTTTTATTCTGTACCCTGGCGAGCAGGCGCCAAAAAGCTAACCAATGTGAAACATCAATAAAAAACACATTTTCAAATTGAAAAAATAAAAAATAAAGCACAAAATACAAATACTCTGAAAATTCCTTCTACTACACCTAGGATGGTGTTTCCCATGACCTACCATAATAAATCTCCACAATTTTCCAACATCGTGAAACAGAATTGGAAGATGTTGTCTTCGGATGACACCTTGCCAAAAGTCTTCAAAGAGCAACCTATGATTTGTTACAAACAAACAAAAGTCTATGGGACTTACTTGTTAAAACGGATCCTGTTTCCAGCTATCAAACTATACCGACAAGCCAAATTACGGGTAGGTGTTAAGATACATACAAAAATATATATATTAAATATATATAAGTATGGTAAGTATGTGTCTGGGAAGCAAGTAGCTCTCCTGTCCTCCCGCGCAATGCTGTGCGGAGCGTTGCCATGGTAACACATGGCAACACTCCACACATATTGCTTGCGGGAGGACAGGAGAGCTGCTTCCAAGATCCCTCCCCCTGCCTCCGGGTCCTCCCGACACGGAAGCAGACTAGGCGGCTGCCGTTTTGGCAGGTTGCCACAGAGAGTGCCCGGCGTGACACCTGTGGCACGCGTGCCATAGGTTCGCCATCACTGTCTTATAGTATAATAATATGACAACATCCAGTGTGAGTGAAGGTTATGAATACATTATAATAATGATTATATAACCCGAGGAGAGCATAGGCCATGCATACATCACTATGATACTGTAATATAATGATACTACCCAGGATCAGTGTAGGCTATGCATGTATTATATTAATACTGTGTAAAAAAAATTCCATCCATAATTTATAATAATGTATAATACAATGATCATATAACACCCAGAGAAGCCATGCTATGCATGTATTATAATGACACTGTAGTTAGTAATAACATTATATAATAACAAACACCCATGGAGAAGCCATGTATTATATTATATAATAATGTTATTACTAACTACACAGTATCATTATAATACATGGCCTCTCCCTGGGTGTTTGTTATTACTAACTACAGACACCAAGGGAGAGGTCATGTATTATTTTATTATTTATATAGCGCCATCAGATTCCTTAGCGCTGTATAATGATACTGTGTAGTTAGTAATAACATTATTATATGATAACAAACACCCAGGGAGAGGCCATGCATTATAATGATACAGTATAGTTGTTAGTAGAAGTAGTTATTGTATTAACATGTTACTGTGACACTCACGGCTGCCTCATGCTCTGTCTGTCTGTGTAGTTGTTAACAACAACAACTAGAAAAGCTACAATTTCAGGGGAAATTGTGTGAAGTGTTCTTGCCTCCACCAGTAGTCTACAACTTGAGTGGGTGGAGTAACTATTATTTATTTATATAGCACATTTAATTGCAACGTTGTTGCCCAAAGTGCTTCACAGTTACATTAAAAATACATTTATAAAAACATTAGCAGGTGTACAAAAGGCCCTGTCTATGACATCACTTGCTGCTCCAGCCTGGCACAGGTCAGAGTATTTTGGCGGGTGCCATCTTCAAACGGTCGTATTTTAAAAACTATACATCCTACAGCGAAGAGCGTTATATTGTGGGAATCACAAGACCCAGGCCTACATTTTGATGCATAGTATGTCTCTGAAATATTAACAAAGAAGGCACAGTCGCAGTTTAGAAATTGCCCTTCAAATTTGAGCTGGCTAGAGTGGAGTTTCAATGAATGTCAATGGACAGCATGAGTCGCAAACAAATGGTCATATTGTGAAAACTATCAGGACTATGGCTTAGCCATGTACATTTTTAGTGGCAGCAGGGATAGCTGAAAGTTTTGATATAAGATTTGTGTAGGTGGCAGTTTAGAAATCATGTCCTGATTTTTCAGCTTTTGCCAGCTCCCACTCTAGTTTTGAACATTTTGCCATTCATTCCAATGGGACCAATTTCGCCAAAAGAACGACGATATTCCGTGTACCATTCGGCAAAACGTTCCACAAAGTAATAGCAATCTGATCGGGAACAATCCGCACGTTTCGGTATATTACTGTCTATGTAGTGTAAAAACTGTGGGAGGAGTTAGGGTGGAAAATTTGGCTATAATAAGAATAAGAACTAGAAAAGCTACAATTTCTGGGGAAATTGTGTGAAGTGTTCTTGCCTCCACCAGTAGTCTACAACTGGAGTGGGCGGAGTAACTTATCATTTATATAGCACATTTAATTGCAACGTTGTTGCCCAAAGTGCTTCACAGTTACATTAAACCATACATTTATAAAAAGATTAGCAGGTGTTCAAAAGGCCCTGTCTATGACATCACTTGCTGCTGCAGCCTGGCACAGGTCAGAGTATTTTGGCAGTTGCCATCTTCAAACGGTCGTATTTTAAAAACTATAAATCCTACAGCGAAGAGCTTTATATTGTGAGAATCACAAGACCCAGACCTACATTTTGTAGTGTAAAAACAGTGGGAGGAGTTAGGGTGGCAAATTTGGCTATAATAAGAATAAGAATAATATATGTGAGATAACATTAAGTGGTCTTGCTATGCAAGAACACTTAATAATAGTTATAGTATTAACATGTTACTGTGACACTCACGGCTGGCTCATGCTGTCTGTGTAGTTAATAATAATAATAGTTTTAACATGTTACTGTGACACTCATGGCTTGCCCATGCTGTCTGTCTGTGTAGTTAATAATAATAATAATAATAGTTATTGTATTAACATGTTACTGTGACACTCACGGCTGGCTCATGCTGTCTGTCTGTGTATTTCCGGCTGGCTCTCTCTTTATATGATGCTTGGCGCGTGCGGCGCCCCCTAAAATCCTTCCCCCGGAAACTGCGCCCTGACACTATGGTTCCGGGGCTTACCATTCTCGCTGTTACACTGCCAGGAGCCTGAACTCACCTGAAATAAACAAACATATATAAAGAATGGGAAGGCTGCCATGACCTGTGCCTCCATTTATAAACAGGCTTTTAATCCAGGAGCTTGAATTCTGATAACACTGGCTGCCTGCGCCTAGTGGGTGTTATTCTTATTGTTTACTGTATGGCTAATATCAGCTAACCTTGTTTGTGCTGTTTGACACATTAAAAACTCCATATAAAGAGATACAGGACTATTCAGAGCACCCTAGAGAAGCCACCGCCGCCATCTTTGTTATGGGAACGTGACGTCACTTCCGGGTCCGAGCGCCCATGGCAACTGCCGCAGAGTCCTGGGCGACCGCGAGCTCGGGGCTGTGAGTGCCGAGTGCGACTACCTGAGACCCACCCGCAGACAGGTGAGGGCCACAAGCGACATCCCACCGGATTCTACCGGGCTATTTACTAAATGGCGAACTGCTGGGAATTCAGAGGGAATTTCAATGTTCTGTGTTTCCAAAACATTTTCACTGTGAGCACAGCTGGCTTTGGGTAACTTTACCAGTCAGGGAGTCTCGCTCTAACCTTAGTAAATAACCATAATCGAGATTGGAATCCTGATTTAGAGTCTGCACTCTAAACTTGTCTTGGCCCAAGAGCTTGCAATCTGATGTTGTCTGTAAACAATAGCTTTTCTAGGGAGCACTTCAAGCACTAGAAGGGGGTGTCCAAACTCTGGCCCTCCAGATATTGCTGAACTACAACTCCTGTACAACTACAACTATCTAATTCATTCAAAGAATCATGGGAGTTGTAGTTCAGCAACATCTGGAGGGCCAGAGTTTGGACACCCGACAGCCTGGACTTAGTGCACGCAGAGAGTTAATGGCTGTCAGAAAGGCAGGGACATGGCGAACCTCAGCTAAGAAGTCAAATCAATAGCAAATGGTCTGACTACTTACATTGAGGAGGATGGACACCAGGTAAGAAGTAAAACTACATACATGTCGGTCCACGCCACTTCTGGCACCATCACCTCTATAGTGTACTGTAGTGGTCATGGTACTTTGAGTGTTCCCTTAAAGGAAATCTAGATCACAGAATCAGATTGCAAGCTCTTGGTTACAGACAACATCACAACAAAATAACATTAGATTGTAATCTTTTGGCTAGAGACAAGATCAGATTGCAAGCTTCTTGTGAAAGACAATACCCTTTAATTCAGACCATTGCTAAAGCTTGCACCCTTTAGTCTATCCACGTTTGCAATGTGTGCTAGCTCTTCCCAAGATCTTTCAATCAGATGTTTCTTTCATATAATAACTTGCAATCCGATGTGCCTAATAACCATATGTTTTCAGATTAGAGAGACATTTTAAGTGACCAAACTACTACAGCTCTCTGTTCTGGTTAGGTTACCTAGACTTCTCTGCTGTCGTCCCCTGGTTTAAAGTTTAACCGTTTTAAGAATGATTTGGTATAATGCATGGGTATTCCTAGGGCCAAATGACAGCTGCATTCATAATGTGGAACTAACCCTTCACGTCAGGGCTAGTTAGTCCAGCACTCTAAGCCAAAAGTTGTGGTACAGGCTGAATGAAATTGGCGTCAATAATGCAGAACTTTAATTTTCCCTTTATCTATGTGGCTTGGATGTTGGTGCCCTTGCAGTGTCAGGAAGACCCTTGTTTTAGATCAGACCTGATACACACTCCCAGGCGTGTAACTCGTGGTTATTTTGCTTTTTATAGCTCTTGAACCCCACTTGGGATCAGGAATTAAGGGGTTGGACTGTAAAGCTAATCTCACGAATGCTAGTCAACATAGGAGTCAACATATTCCACAGGAGTTTACATAGGTATAACTGATACAAATAAAGAGACTAAAGGTTCAATACATTTGTATTTGACAAACAAATACAGGAGGAATTAACATACTAGATCAGGGGTAGGTAATCTTCGGCACACCAGATGTTATGGGCCCTGTCTCCCATGATGCTTTGCCAACAATATGGTTTAAGAGCATTATGGGACGTGTAGTCCACAACATATGGAGTGCCAAAGATTATCTAGCGCTGATCTAGATGAATTACACTGTTTAAGGAACACTCCGGACAAATAAACCAAAATCTGTCTGGAATCTGCCTTATTTGTGATTGTATATAAAAGTGCCTATTAAAATAGGAATGTTATAATTGGGGGAATAAACACCTCCCTGGCTGTCGATCAGACAGCTGGTAAGGTTTTCTTCTGCATCTGTTAGCTCCATAGAGCTAATGGAAGTAGAAGGTGCTTGTGACTCTAGCATAGAGGCTTCTTATTGAGAAAGATTTGATTGGTGTATTCCCCAGCAAAGACTGAAAGCGGTCTAGCAAAGGCAGACAACTGATCTGAAGCTTTTGCAAGCTGTTTTTTTCATATACCATTGGGAATGAAAAAAAACATAGAAAAAAAAATGCATGCATGTTTTCTTTGGGGGTTTATCTATTGACGTTTAATGTCTCAGTAGCTTTTTCTCAGTTGAGTAGGGTTGTGAGCTCAGAATCATACCTAATCAAGCAGATTGTAGAATGTTAACATTCTCCAGTAATTGCAGAAATTTGTAAATAGAATATCACAGGTATAATCAAATTGGGTTATTCACTAAAGTGCTAATTGCCGTGTAATTTTCAGATTTTATCAAAATTAAAAAATCTTTAAGTTTTGAAATTTACTAATTTGGACTAAACTTTTAAATGCACTTTCAATTTCTGACAATTCACAATTTAGTGAATAATCCTGTGTGACGATGGCAACTCAAGTACAATTGTTAAATTAATCCAGTAAAAATAAATGGTGAATAACTGTAGAAAGTATATTGGTTTGGCCAATATTCATAATTTTCAGCGGTATCGGCCTATAAAGATACTGATCTTGCAGATAATGCAGACAGCGGGGGCCGCACAATATAGAGGCCCACCATGCACTAAGGGCCACCCGGTGGGCATTTGTAAGCAGGGCCGACCGGGCCGCTTGCTTTTCAACAGCTGGTAGGGTGGAAGTGACAGCCACGAGTCACTTCCTCCCACTGAGAATAGAGGGTCACGTGGGAGACACCAAGGAGGCAGAGAAGAGTGGGGCTGGGCTGGTAGACCAAGCGCTGATGCCAAACAGCCTCAGCCACCAGTCTGGACACCTGGGAAGTCACCCTCCAAGGTAGGAAACGGGAGGTGGGTTTAAAAGAGTAAATTTTGCGTGTGTTTGTATGTCTGTGTGTGTCAGGATGTCTGTTAGTGAATGTGTCTGTGTGTCAGTATGTCTATTAGGGTATGTGTCTAAGTGTCAGTATGTCTGCCAGTGTATGTCTGTGTGTGTGTGTCAGTATGTATCTGTGAATGTGTCAGTATGTATGTCCGTAAATATGTGTCTTAGAATGTGTGTGTGTGTCAGTATGCCCTGGACCCAGCGCATGCTAACTGGAGAGCCTCTCTGCAACTGTCATGAGCCCATGGCCATCAAAACATTGCCACAGGTTACCACAGCAATGCTCAATGCAGCAAACCAGGATCAAGAAAGTTGGAGAGAAGACAGAAGATAGCATACACTGGGTGCAGGCCACTCCCTCTACAAAAAATCAATATCAGTCGATCCCTAATATTTGAACTGTAAAAACTAACTGGAAATTTAGTCGAGAGACATATTTAATACCCCAATACAGATTTGCCAGTTTGTTTGGTTTATAACTTTATGATTTAAATAGATATGCCATTCTGAGCAGTTTAAAAGCCAAACAATTCACAATCTCCACTAAAGTGTATATATATATATATTTTTAAATGACCTGTGTAAGCTGTTTGGCATGCAGTAGCCATGTTATCACTATTTTGAAGTAATATTTATATTTCTGGGTTTCCACAGACCGATACCATCATATTGTAGTTGTTTGTTTTATTTTGACTTTCTTTGCAAGCAAAGGAAATTACCCCAGGTTAAGTTCAGCTACTCATACTAGTATATTTGTACTTTTCTCATGTTTTCTTCTTTTTAAAGATATATGTACTACCTTACGGTTTGTTGCAACCTTTAGCCACACCCACAAAACCCTGGTCCAGTATACTTCATAGTGGATTTACCTAAATCAGAAGGCCATACCGTTATCTTAACTGTTACCAACAGGTTTTCTAAAATGATCCATTTCGTACCCTTGTCTAAGCTACCTTCATCTTTGGTATTAGCAGATTTATTCGCCAGTGAGGTTTTCCGCTTGCATGGCATACCAGAAGAAATAGTATCCGATAGGGGTCCACAGTTCATTTCATGATTCTGGAGGGTATTCACGGCTTACCTTGGCATTAAACTTTTGTCATACGTCTGCCTATCATCCGCAATCAAATAGGGCTGCCGAGAGAACCAAGCAATCTTTGGAACAATACCTCAGATGCTTTATCTCGGGCAATCAAGACCATTGGACGAAACAGCTTTCTTTGGCTGAATATGCTCATAATAGCAATCAACACGAATCCACGAAGCACAGTCCTCTCTATCTCAATTTCAGTTTCCATCCTACTGTTCTTCCACATGCCATTCCTTCCTTGAAAATGCCTGCTGTGGAAGAATACTCGGGTAAGCTGAGGAATACTTGGGAGCTGGTTCAGCACCTCCTTACTAATAGAGCTACCTCACAAAAGAAGTTTGCTGATAGACATCAGCAGCCAGTTCCTTCATGTCAAATTGGTGATAGAGTATGGTTGAGCACTAAAAACATCAATTTGAAAGTCCCTTCCAAGAAATTTGCACCTTGTTACATTGGCCCCTATTGGATATTGAGGAGTGTGAACCCTGTTTCATATAGGTTACATTTGCCTCCCTCGCTGAGTATACCTAACACATTTCATGTTTCCCTGTTGAAGCCTCTTACATATAACAAGT